GTGTGCGGCCGTTCCGCTCAAGCGAGGCCTACGTGGAGGCCATGAAGGAGGACCTGGCCGAGTGGCTCAACGCCTTGTACGGCCTGGGTCTGCCCAGCGGTGGCGACGGCTTCCTGACGGGGCTGGCCACGGGCACCACTCTGTGCCAGCATGCCAATGCCGTCACCGAGGCCGCCCGCGCCATGGCTGCTGCCCGGCCGGCCCGCGGGGTGGCCTTCCAGGCCCACAGCGTGGTGCCGGGCTCCTTCATGGCCCGAGACAATGTGGCCACCTTCATCGGCTGGTGCCGCGCGGAGCTGGGTGTGCCCGAAGTGCTCATGTTCGAGACGGAGGACTTGGTGCTGCGCAAGAACGAGAAGAGCGTGGTGCTGTGCCTGCTGGAGGTGGCGCGGCGCGGGGCCCGCCTCGGCCTGCTGGCCCCTCGTCTCGTGCAGTTCGAGCAGGAGATTGAGCGGGAGCTGTGCGCCGCGCCCCCGGCCCCCAACGCCCCCAGTGCGGGGGAGGACACCGCCGAGACCACCGCCCCGGGAGCTCCAGCCCGTGGGCCGCGCATGACGCCCAGCGACCTGCGCAACCTCGATGAGCTGGTGAGTCCGCGAGTGCGCATGCCCGATGGCCGGGCTTATTCTAGCACAACCCAGGCACCAGCAGGCAGGGTGGTGTCAGCCACCTTCCGCGGCCTGTCCTCGTGGCTGCAGGACAGCCTGCCCCGGGGAAAGGGTGCATATGTTGAGCACCAAGTGGATACCCAGCCCCAAAGAGAGGCAGGCACAGAGAGGGCTGAGTGCTGGGTGAGGTCACAGCGCCCGGCGTGGCCTGAGAGAAAACTCGGCCTCCGCTGCCCCATGGCACGACGACCCCCGCTTCCTCTCTGTGCCAGCCGCGCCCCAGGTGAGCACCGGGTGTCCTGCATCCGGGGGTGTGAGCCCCTCCTGTATGCCTCCATGCTCTCCGCTGCTAGAGCGCGGCATTCACGCCATCGCTGGGCTCCAGGTTGCATGGGGCCCAGGGTCCAGGGCAAGGCAGCTGGCGCACAGCAGGCGCTACGTGAGTGCCCAAGGAAGCTCCCAGGGGCTCTGCGGGCCCCTCCTCCTCCCCCGGGACTTATCTGAGAAGCCCAGCCCAGAGTACCCTGTTAAGAGCTGTGGGATGAGCTCTATGCTGAGCATATAGGAGGTGCCAGACCGTGACTCCAGCTCCCACCTCTTACTGGGACCTAGGTGTCCCTGACACCCCCACAGCCTGGCTAAGAGTTTCCTTCTTATCAGGTTAGGACGGGATGTGCCCGTCCTGGAGGCAGGCAGCCGGATGGCTGTGGGCAGAGGCTGCACCCCACCCCACCCCGGGCCAGGGTCACCCGAGGCTCCACCTGCTCATTCTGTCAGCTCTGCTGTGGGTGAGGAGGCGGGTGGGGCCTCCCACATAGCCAGCCTGGCAGCTCCTGGCCTGGGGGAGCATGTGGGCAGACGTGTGCTGGCCGGGCGGGCGGCCTGGTGGTGTCTGTGTGCCCCACGGATCTGTAGCACTGCCGCCTCCATATGGCGTGGGTCCTCCTCCCCTAACCTGGCCTCTCTGTGGGTCTCAACATTCACGTCTCTGAAATGGGTGAGGGGGAGTGAGGACTCCCCCAAGGGTTCAGGCACTTCAAGGAAGCAGTCCCCCACCTCGTCCTGGTCGGCTTCCTCCCCCGTGGTAGTCAGAAGGGAAGGAGCTCTGGTGAAAGGTCGAGCACAGAGGCGGCACTCAAGTCCAGGGCAACACAATCGGAGCCTCTGCTCTCCAGAAGAATTTACTTCCTTCTGCCCCCGGAGCTGCTGACGGCAGGCCCAGGGAGGAGGGACCTGACCCCTGACCTCCAGCCTCTCCTCTTAGGTGAGGGAGATCTTGGGGCGCTGCACCTGCCCAGACCAGTTTCCCATGATCAAGGTCTCGGAGGGGAAGTACCGCGTGGGAGACTCCAGTCTGCTCATCTTTGTGCGGGTGAGAGCAAGGGGCTCCCCGAGCAGGCAGAGCCTGGGAGGTGGGTGGCATGCGCCGTGACCCGCGCACGCCGGGCTCCCACAGGTGCTGAGGAGCCACGTGATGGTGCGTGTGGGAGGCGGCTGGGACACGCTGGAGCACTACCTGGACAAGCACGACCCCTGCCGCTGCTCCTCCGCGGGTCAGTGTCGGGGGTGGGGGGTGGGGGGGGGTGGGGGGCGGGAACGCGGGGGCGCGCACTTCTGCGGCCCGCCCCTCACGTGGCACCCACCCTCTCTCCCTGCAGCCCACCGCCCGCCCCAGCCCAGGACGCGCACCTTCTCCCCGCAGCGAGTGTCACCCAGCCCCAGCCCCCGAGCTGGCAGCCCAGCCCCAGGGGGGGAGCGCCGGGGCTCCCGCCCAGAGGTGACACCCATTGGCTTACGCAGCTGGAAGGAGGGGCCCGAGACCCCACTCAGGTGAGAGGAGGGAGGACATGGGACCCGGGTCCAGGGCGTGGGGGTGTGGGGGGCGCCCGCCCTGGCCGGGATGACGCTTCTCCCAGTGACTCACACCCTGGGAAAAGTTCCCGTGGGTGGGGGTGGGCCTGGCTTCCCATCTCTATGGCAACCCAAGCAAACGAACAACACAGCTGGGCGGGCCCTGGGGGCTGGGTGGCCGCCAACCCAACCCAGCTTCCCTCTGGCCTGCCCAGGAAGCTGGAGGCTTGAGGAGGGGGGAGCTTGGGCCCTTGCTTCTTCCGCTGCCTTGGGGTGGGGTGGCGGGGGGTGGCCCTGACTGCAGAAGCTGTGGCAGAATCTCTCACTTCTCCCTGGAAGTCCCCAGGACGGACAGAAACCCTCGGCACCCCCGCTGCCACCACAGGTGTCTCGCCCGCGGCTGTGCGTCTGCCTGTTCCTTCTCCGCCCCGCCCTTTATGTGCAGCGGGTCTCTCTGCCTCGCCCCACCTCTCTCTCTTGTTCCCCTGCCCCAGGGCCCGGGACCAGCTGCCCCCCCATCCCCGCTCCCGCCGTTACTCTGGGGACAGCGATTCCTCAGCCTCCTCGGCCCAGAGCGGCCCCCTTGGTGCCCGCAGTGAAGACTCAGGCACTGGCCCCCGGCGGGAGCGTCCCAGCCGGCGTGTGACCACGGGCACCCCGGCCTCCCCGAGACGGCCTCCTGCCCCACGAAGCCAGTCCCGGGACCGGCTGGATCGGGGGCGGCTGCGTGGGGCCCCAGGAGGCAGGGGAGGCCAGCTATCCGCCCCCAGCCCTGCCCGGCGGGCCCGGAGTCAGAGCCGTGAAGACCAGGCAGTGCTACTGGTGCGTCGGGACCGAGATGGACAGCACTCCTGGGTGCCTCGGGGCCGAGGCAGTGCGGGCTCGGGCAGAAGCAGCCCCCACACTCCCCGTGCCCACAGCCCTGCAGCTCCCAGGGTCCCCAGCCCCAGTCCAGAGTTGAGCACAATCCCGGCCAGTGTCTTCCGCACACCCCTGCAGCTTGACCCAAAGCAGGAACAGCAACTGTTTCGGCGCCTGGAAGAGGAGTTCCTAGCCAACGCCCGAGCCCTTGAGGCTGTTACTGGTGGGACCCCCAGTGGACCAGCCCCTGACCCAATTCGGGCCCCAGACCCTCCAGCTCCTGACTCAGCCTACTGTTCCTCCAGCTCCTCTTCTTCGTCCCTCAGCGTCTTGGGTAGCAAGTGTGGGCAACCTGGGGACTCTGGCAGGATGGCCAATGGGCTGCCTGGGCCCCGAGGCCCAGCCCTTTCCAGCTCTTCCGATGAGGGCAGCCCCTGCCCCGGTGTAGGGGGCCCACCAGATGCTCCGGGGAGTCCTCTGACCGGCCCAGAGCCCCTGAGGACCTGGGCACGAGGCCGGATGGACACACAGCCAGACCGAAAACCCTCACGCATCCCCACACCAAGGGGCCCCCGCCGCCAACCCGGACCCACGGGGTCCGGGACCTGGCATGCCCTTCACTCAGTCAGCCCAAGGACCGAGCCAGATTCCTGGATGTGACGGACCAGCCCAGCTGCCCCCAGTCCCCTGTTCCCTCTCTCCTTTTCCTTTGTGGCCTTAACCCCTCTGCATCAGGGAGTGCCCCTGCCTCTTGGGGACCAGACCTCATGGGACCAGACCCCTCGGGACCACATGGCACAATGGGACTTATGGTGTACATTCCGCTTGGGGGATGAGCATTGCTATTTAATTACTAATATTATTGAATGCCTTAGAGGAGGCTGGGCCAGCCCAGTAAGGACCCTTCCTGAGGTCCCGTGGCCCTGCAGAGCCTGACAGTAAAGTTTTCTTCCAGCTACTTGTGTCTGCGTCTTGGAGACTCAGCCTTCTTGGAGACTCAGCCTTGGGGCCGTCATATCCATTTGAGAACCCTCATTACAGGCTGGGATTCTGGAGTCAGCTGCGAGGGGGCAATGCCTGTCAGCTCTGACCTTTAAGTGTATGTCTCCTGCATGGGCAGACAGGTTCTTTACCACTAGCGCCCCCCTGGGAAGCACAAAATTTATTTTTTAGCCACTTTGTGAGGCACGAGAGATCTTAGTTCCCCACCCAGGGATTGAACTAATGCCCCCTGCAGTGGAAGCTTGGCGTCTTAACCACTGGACCATCAGGGAATTACCCAAGATTATCTTGCCATCCCAGCAATGCCAGGCGCAACTTGCTTCCCCTTTATTTCCTCCCGGGAGGTGTGACTTAACAGTTGGTCCAATGAAACTCCAAGAGCAGCCTGAGCATGTCCAATCAGATTCATAGCGAAGTCCTTTTCATCCAATGGAATCGTGACTCAATGAGGTCCCAGAAAGGACTCATTTGTCCAATGGGGCCTGGTTGAGCCCAGTGAGATTCAAAGAGAAGTCTGTTGCCCAGGAGACTGGGTGGGAGCGTTCCTCAGCCAATCAGGGAGGAGGCTGTCCTGTCCAATCCGAAATAAGTTGGGCAATCTCGTCCAATCCGGGTCCCCGGTTGTTCCAGTTAACTAGAAGGCCCCTCCCCCCCGTAAGGGGCGTTTTTCCAATTCGATCACATGAGGCTGCAGCGCGCCGGGTGCAGCGCCCCTTGCAGGCGCAGAGCTGGGTGCGCAGGGCGTGCGCGCACGAGCGCGCAGCGCAGCAGCTCGCGGAAGAGTCGTAGCACGTGCCAGTTGTACTTGGCGGAGCATTCGAGGTATCCGCAGCGCCAGCCCCTGCGCACCAGGGCAGCCAGTGCGCGCCGAGGCCCGAATCGCAGCCGCTGCCGGTCCCGCTTGTTGCCCACCACGAGAATGGGCGCTTCAGGTGCGCCCGCTGGCCTGGAGGCCAAAGGAGGATGAAGGTGGCAGTGCCTGGGACCCCCATGGCCGAAGAATCCCTCCAGCGGGTACATACACACTAAGGAGCATACTTTCCTGCAGCCAGAGAACCTCCAGCAAACACCAGACCCACAAAGACCCAGGACCAAAGACCGCTTAGGGCTAGAGGCCAGGCCCGAAAAGGCCTGAGACCTGGCCCAGGACGGTGGGAGAGCCCACCCACTCACCTCGGGGTAAAAAAGACCGAGCCAGACCCACAAACACTCCCCGCCGTCCCACACACAACCCGGGCGGCGCACCTTACCTGGTCTCCGCAATGCGCTGCCGCAGCGCCTTCACATAGTCGAAGCTGTCCGGGCTGCAAATATCGTAGACAAGCACGAAGGCGTCCGTGTCCTGCAAGCTCCAGTCTTTAGAGTCCGGCCACTCCTGGGGGGCGGGAGGCCAGAGTTTGCCGAAGCCCTCTTCTTGCTCTCTCGCATCCAGACCTTCTGCAACGGGCCTTGACGTGAAACCCACACAGTTCACGCTCAGGCCTTGGCCCTTCTCCTGCTCATCTGTGGCCCTCTCCCGCAAGCTCCCTGGGCCTTACTGTCCTTATGGCCGCTGGGGTATACCTTTTAAAACCGTGCCTGAAGCCAGTCAGCGTCCAACCCTTCTTCTCTCTGGGTCTGTCTCCTTCCTCGCCCCTTCCTCTCTTTCCCATGGTTCCCTTCTTTCGGGAGAGGCCCCGCCCCTCCCCGGGCGCCCTCAGGAGTAGTGCCTGCCTCCAAGCCTGGGCCGGTGTTCCTGAGCCTGCGGAGACCACTGATTAACGGCAGCCGGCCGGAGCACACTCTGCTCTTTCCACCTGGAAATGCTTCCGCCACTTCCTCTAATCAAAATTTCACTCATCCTTCCCGGTTCAGCCCAAATGCCACCCTCACCAGGAAACCCTGGTTAATCCTGCCTGCTCTTTCCTCTTCACTTCTTGAAGGCATCAACTCCTAAGGATTCAAAGTCTGCCCTGGACTTTGCAAAATTATTAAACAAGTCTTGGCTGCAGGTACTAGGAATGAGGGAGCAGAGAATGATGCCCTCAGAACGGACACCCCCGTGTCTCGCTTCAACCTCTCCCACTGCGGCTCTGCTCATGGCTCCAGACACAGAACACTCACTCTCAGGGAGGCAGGACCATGCTATGCTCCCCCGTGCACTAATCCTCACCCACCAGCGGAGGCCGAGAAATAGCAATTTAAGCAAGCGAGAAAAAGCCACTCTGCAAAATCGCCGGGTCTTGGGCCTGAGTTGGGGCAATTGCATGCCGGCAGAAGAGGTGAAAAGCACAAATGCCAGGACACACATTGACCGTTCAGTCCATGAACACAGTCGGGTACCCCTGGGCCGTCCACGGGGACACGCACGTGTGTACCGAGCATCCACCCACATGCTGTCACACGCCCCTGCCCACCCCTTAGCCTACTACCTCTTGCCCCCCGGGGCTCTGACCGGGGCCAGCACCGTCGCCGTCGCGGATGCTCAGGTCGTAGACGGCGCCGTCGAGCAGCACCGCGGGCCGGTAGAGGCGCGGCCCGTCCGTGGGCCTGTGGCGCTCGGGGTAGTCACCGAACAGGAACTGGCGGATGATGGCCGTCTTGCCCACGCCCGGAGCGCCCAGCACCGCCACCCGCAGGCTGCCCCCCATGGCCCGCGCGTGCTGCTGCGCCCCGCTCTGGGAAGCCTCATGGGTCGGCGCCGCTCTGTGCGCCCGGCGCGCCCTGCCCCGTGCGCCCCAGCCCCGCCGCGCTCATCGCCCCTTGGAGCACCGGGGGCCCGGGGAGGCCAGGCTGGAGGTCGGAGCTGGCGGTAGAGGGGAAACAGACAGCCGAGCAGGCGGACGGCGGACGCACGAGCAGCTCCGGCGAGTGCCAAGCTCAGGAGAGAACTGACCGAGCACGCCGCGCGCAGACACGACCTCCGCCCCGCAGCGCCGGCGACGGCGCGGAGCACCGAGGTCGGACCTCCTCGCCTCGCGGGTCCCGCGGCGGAGCAGGATGCAGGGGGCGGCGCTGCCTCTCGGCGTCTCGGTCCCTCCGTCCTTCTCTCGCTCCGGCGCCCGGAGTCGCCGCCCCAGCCGGCGGCGCAAGCGAGCAGCGAGCAGCAAGCGGAGCCTCCCGGAGGCGGCGATGAGGTAACCGCCTACCCGCCCCTCCCTCTCCCCCCTACCCGCCCGGGACGCCCCTCCCGGGAAGGGTCGCGGGAAGGTGACTGGGACTCGGGGAGCCCAGGGAGGGACCCAGCCCCCTCTGCGTTCCGCGCTCCTGTCACCCGCTCCAAAATAGAATTCCCTTCCCGCCCACTCCTCCAAACACCGCTCTCCCAAGCTGGCTCCTCGCAAACCCGGCCCGCTGGAGTCAGGCCGCCCGGGTCGGATCCGGCCCGACTATGTGACCTTGGGCGAGTCGCCGCACTGCGCTGGCTCTGCTCCGCATCCACCAAAGGCACACACCGTTTCTTGAGCGCCTACTACGTGCCAGGCCCTACACTAAGCTATCACCTACACGATCCTTGACTCGAAGCCTCAACCTGGTGTCTCTGAGAGAAAACTGAGGCCGGAGAGGGGGCTGCTGTCCAAGGTTGCGGGTCAGCAGCTGGTCCCTGTGAGGAGCTCTCCCACCTCCCTCCGGCCCACAGGGGCCAGCCCTAAATAAGGGCGTCAGGGAGGGGGCCGTGGGACAAAGTGTGCAGCAGGTCCCAGCAGCTCAGCCCCAGACCCCTATCCCAGCAAGGCTGAAAGAGGCCGAAATTGGTTCACACCACCTCCCTCACCACCAAGGCCAAGTTTTCCGCTTAAGTCTCCACCTGTAGCTTTCCCTCCCACCCCGCAACCTCCACGTTAGGTTCCCAGAGCCCAAGTCCCCACTCCTGGAGCCGGCCCGACGCCCCTTCCTTCTCCGTCAGGCCTTGGGAAGTCTGGGTCTAGCAGCGCGGTCCTCTGCTGACCCGCCCCGGCCCTGCAGTGGTCGGGGCGGGGGGTGTGGGGGGGCAGTGTCTCCCGCATCTCTGACCGTCCCTGATGCCCCGGAACTGCATGACAAGAACAGACAGCACTGTTTCTGCACTGACCAAGCACTTTGCTCATCTGTTTGTGCAACAAACAGCCCCAATCTTAACTGCTTCCCAAGATGCTGAGACAGATTTTTTAAAAGAAATAGCACAGACAGCTTGCTCACCTCAGCCTGGGGGACGTGGGGAAGGGGCGAGGAGCTGAGTCTTGAAGCGGGGAAGGGGGTTCACTCTGGGGAGCACGCGATGGCACCTGGATCAGGGGCCTGGGTCGCTTTCACTCTCCCCAGCCACTAGGGAGCTCGGAGCCAGAGCTGTGGCTACATCTCAGTGGTGTGCCAGCTCTTCGGGCCCAGTGAGCGGCTTTATCTTACTTTCCAACTGTGGGTTTCTTCCTTCACCTGACTCCCCCTCTGACTTTTTCAGGCCTCTGGGTTTTGTGGGCTGCCTCAGTTCCTTGGAGTAAATAAACTAACTAGGCCCTGTCCGCCCTGTTGACCACCAGCAGGGTGTGGGGCTGACATGAGGATGGTCTTCCTCAGGGCGCTCGCTGGGACCCACACCTGCCTCGAGCACCCTCTCGCCTACACGTGGGAGCCCACTCTGGACGTGCTTCCTCGGAAACCTTCCCTTTGCTTTCCTACAGGGCACCTTCTTCCTGGGCGGGGCTTCTTTGGGAACCACACACAGGGCTGTGTGGCTGCGTGGGAGCCACGGCCGGGCCCAGGGTGTGGTTCTGGAATGGTGGCGGACGCTCTGAGCAGGGTACGGAAAAGTCCCCACAAAGGTGTGCAGACTCCACAGGGGCGGCACATTCCCACTTAGCAAGGAGCTGTGGGCACTTCCCTGGCCGTCCAGTGGTTGGGACTCCACGCTTCCACTTCAGGGGGGCCCAGGTTCGATCCCTGGATGGGGGACTAAGATCCCACAAGTTGTGCAGTGTGGCCTAAATAAATAAATAAAAGGACCTGTGATGTGCCCAGCCTGTCGTCTGTGAGGCCCAGAGGGATGAAATGATTTGCTCAGAATGATCTAGCAGGAAAGTGGCAGAACAGGGACTGGAACCCAGACCTCGAGCCACTGAGGCTGACCCTCTGAGAAGCCCATCTTCATCAGGGCCCAGAAGCACCTCAGGAGGTGAGTCGGTGCGTGTGGCCCTGTGGGAGCGGAGCTCAGCTCAGACAGGAGCAGGCAGCCCAGGGCCAGCCTCCCCAAAGACCAGCAAGCCAGGGAGCTTGGGCTGCATGTCAGCAGCTGCCTGACCTTGGCCCATGCAGTTTCTCCCCATCCTGCCTGATTCTAGCCTCTCCCTGGGGTCGAGCACCATGAATGTGCCCAGCCCCCAGGGGTGTGTACTGTGGACTCCTCCGGGCCAGCCATCTGGGCCAGTGCACGGACCATCAGTCACGGTCTGCCCTGCCCACCATCTGTCACTTGTTCCAGCGTAACTCACCTCCCCAAGTCCTGAGTTGGGGAAACTCTTATCACTCGATGCCTCATGCATGCTGGGTCCTTGGTGGCCACTGAAAGACCTCATGTGTTGATTCAGTCAAGCCCCTGAAGGCCGTGGGGTTTTACAACCACCAGGACACAAGGAGGCAACACAGGGCTTCAGTAATGGTCTTGAACTCATAAAGTTGTTGTGGGATGAAATGAGATGATACAATGAGGAAAACAAGACGATTTAGGAAGGCTAGTGGGAGGACTGAGTTTGTACATAGAAAGTGATCTCAGTTTATATGCAAATAACCATTGGCTATGGAGAAGGAAACGGAAACCCACTCCAGTCTTCTTGCCTGGAGAATCCCATGGACAGAGGAAGACAGGCAGGCTACAGTCCATAGGGTCGCAAATAGACATGACTGAAGCAACTTAGCACGCACGCACGCCACCATATGTGTGTGTGCACACAGCTAAGTGTGTAGACAGGGATTTCCTAGTTCTGTCTGCTCTGAGGGCCTCGGAGTGCAACCCTACAAGCCACAAGCACACCCAGCACCCAGATCTTGGCTTCTGATTCTGTTCTCCAGGCTCCCTGGAGAAATGGCTGGTGCCAGGGTTGGAGCAAGACAAGTAGAAGATGAGCCTGGAGCATCTCATAATATCAGAGAGGAAGGAAGTGCTCAAAAGAAACCAAAGGATGGAATTCCCTGGCAGTCTAGTGGTCAGGACTCTGAGCTTCCACTGCAGAGGGCATGGGTTTGATCCCTGGTCAGGGAACTAAGATCCCACAAGCTAAAAAAAAAAAGGAAGAAAGAAATCGAGGGATGGGGGTGTCAAAGGGACACAGAGCCTACTTGAAAGAGCTCCCAATGGCCACAGCTTAAAAAATTTAAGCAAGAAAATAAATAATGCACTTTTGGATTAAACCCAAATTATAAAGTAAATATCCATGAATCCAAACTGGTATAAATGATTGAGTGAATACATAAATCCAGGAGAAGAAACACATTTTCCTACAGAAGAATTCCAAGTATTTTCTGTAACTGCCCCCTGCTCCCACGCAGTGTAGGCTGCGCTTCGTGACTTGCTTCCCAACAGAGTGTGGAAAGGGGAGGAAGCGGCTTTGTGGAGGAGCCCGCTGTGAACACTGCCTCGGCTAAGTGACGCAGGCTCACGTGTGGCGCTAAGCCGGTGACAGCGTGCACCCCTGACATGATGTGATCAGAAGGGCACCTCCCTGGTCTCTGTCTGGAAAACCTAGAACCCCAGGCTAACCACGGGGAAACGTCAGACAAACCCAAGATGAGGGACAGTCGACAAAATACGTGACCAGCACTCCTCAGGACAGTTAAAGTCACGACCCAGAAAAAGTCTGAGGAGCTCCCGCAGACCCACGGAGACCGAGGAAATGTGACAACCACATGGAATGTGTGATCCGGGGACAGAACAGGACATTAGTAGGAAAACTAGAGAGATCTGAATAGATCTGGGTTTAGTTTTTAAAGTATATGTCACATAATTTGTAATTTACACTATAAATACTCCTATTCTTGTGTTTTATATATTAACAAGTATATATTTACATCATAAACATACATATGGAAAAGATCCCATTCACAAAAGGAACCAAAAAATAGAAAATACTCATGAATCTATGCAAGGATAATGTACATGCAAGAACTTTTTTTTTTTTTTTGGCATGCGGTGCAGTTTGCAGGATCTTAGTTCCCCAGCCAGGGATCAAACCTGGGCTCTGGCAGTGAAAGTGGTGAGTCCCAACCACTGGACCACCATGGAGTTCCCCATGCAAGAACATTTAAATGAAGAAAACTTAAAATGTTATAGAGACGTAAAAGACAGTATGAACCAATGGAAAGTCATCTACTCCTAAATTCAGATATAAAGATTAATATTATTGACATCATTATAAAGATGTCAGTTCTCCATAAGTTAATATAAACATTTGATATCCAAATAAAAATAATACCATCATTAAAAAAAGATTAGTTCTAAAGTTCAAATGGAACCCAAAGGGTGAATAAGAAGGTGCTATAAATTATAAAAATATAAAGGAACAATATATTAAAAAAAAAATACAATGGTGAGAGTTCCTTGGTGGCCAAGTGGTTAGGATTCTGGGCTTTCATTGCCATGGCCTGGGTTCAATCCCTGGTTGGGGACGATCCCGCAAGCCATACAGCGCGGCCCCAAAAACCCCAAAACAAACACATACACACACACACACACACAGTGGCCAACATAGAAACAAATTCTCTGGTACGGAACAGGGCCCAGAAAAGCACTCATATACATGTGGAAATTTAGTATATGACAGAAATGACATTTCAGATCTGTGTGGAAAAGACGAATTACTCAGGAAATGGTGTGGCAACAACTAGGTAACCATCTGGGAGAAGAGAAAGTTGGATCCCTACCTCGTTCCTCACATAAAGCCCGGATGGAACAGGCTTGGAATGCAGAAACTAAGACAAGACAGGCACTGGGAAGAAAGCTGCCAGGAGGCTGACGCCCCCAATACAATTTCAGCATGGAAAAGTAAAGACAGCAGGAAAGACAGAAACCAAATGGGGAGAAATAATGGCAAACCAGGAAGAAAAGCACCAATAACCGGATCAAAAAAGGGCAAAAAAAAATGAAACAGCTCACAGAGAAGGACATACAGAGGCTCAAAAACACAGGAATGGAGGCCTGTTTAAAAGGCAGGAAGATACCATTTCTCACCCGACACCGAAACACTGCAGTATGCCAAGTGTGTGAGGGTGTGGGGGAACGGGCAGCTCCTTCCTGGTTGGTGGGGGTGTGAACTAGAGAGCTTTTAGCAATAGCTAACAAAATGATGAACACACCTACCTTCTATCCAGCAATTTCTGTCTGAGCAGTGTACCGACATGAAAAGTGAATGCTCTTTGCAGTTATCACTTGCACCAACACCACCAAAGACACAACTCAGACGACTTCACAGCAAGGACTGGTTCATCACGGTGCCTCCGTGCAATGCAAAACCACACAGCTGCTAGAAAAAGGCATGAGGCTGCTCTCTATAATGGAACTAACAATGGAGAAATCTGCAAGATACAAGTATGCTGCGGGTTGGGTATATGTACTCCATGCTACTCTTCACACATAAAAAAGGGAAAAATCACATTATATGTCACTGACTCTCTCTGGAGGGTAACACTAGTCCCTTCAGGGAGGGGCATGAGGAATATTTCACTTGTGTCTGTCTGTCTTTTGCATTTTGAACCATATGAATACATTACCTTTTCAAAACAAGAACTAAAACTTAAGATGTGAAATGTTTATACCCTCTGGTCTAGACATTCTGGGGCTAGATCCAACAGCTGTGCTTGGGTCTAGGGGCAAGGATGTCTGTAGGAGGATATTCACTGCACCTTTGCTTGGACTCACAGATGGAAGCAGCCAGAGTGTCCATCTGCAGACACCAGCCCCTCTGCACAAGGAATTCCAAGGTGGCTCTGTACTGATAGGTAAACAGAGCCAAGTGCTGGTAGCGTCCAGGGTGTGCTGCTATTTACTTAGTCAATACCTCCCTGGATTTGCTTTATAAAATCACAGAATTATTTCTGGAAGAAGACCAAAATGTAGCAATGAACTTTGCCTCTAGGGAGGAAAATAAGAACAGAGGAAGTGTGGAAGGGAGAACTTTATCCTCAATGTGACTGAACTCACCTTGGTCCAGAATCACTCTCCATGAAACAAAACACTAGTGAAGATTAAAAAAAAAAAAAAAGTACAATGAGGTCACGTCAGAGGCCTGGGCGGGGTGTCCGGCACTCAGAGAACCCGTCAACCCCCGGGGTGCTTGCTAGACCCTCCTGAATAACTGGTTGCTCTGTTGAATCCCCCAACTGGTCACAAAGGCTCAGCACCCTGGAGTCTTCTGTGAGATGCCATTCCCCCCTCCCTCGCCCCCGAGGAACAGTGAGACCTGCGAATACAGAGGCCTGAGCACACGCGGGCCAGGGGTGCATGTGAGGGGTGTTGCTGGGGTGAGGGAGGGACAGGGAGGCGGGAGGGGGGCCAAGATCACTTGAGTTCCCTCCCATAACTGCCTAAGGCCTGGGCACACGAACCTCAGCTGTCCGATGATGGTCCACGGGCCTCTGGCCAGGCCAGCCAGAAGGCCCAGCAGCACTTCCCCTCACCTCAGGGGCTGGGTCCTGGGCCTCATCTTCACCCACCCCGGGGACAGCGGTGTGCTCCCAAGCTTGGTGGGAGCTGGGCCTCAGCGGGTCGGGGGTGGGGGGGTGACAGGGCAGGCTGGGGTGCATCCATGGCCACGTTTGTGTATGTGGCGCCTTCTGAGCCGTGGACTTTTGGCTAGGGTGAGAACTGGGGTTGTCCAGTCAAGGGTCTTGGCTGGTTCTAGACTCTGGGGTCTCAGGGCATTGTGGTGATACCCAGGGGTCAGAGGTGGGGCAGTGGAGGGCCAGGCACCCCTGCTGATGCCCCGGCAGCCGGGACAGCAGGGTGTCTGGCGCGGGCAGGAAGCTGCTGAGGGCCGAAGGCCCAGCAGCCACATGCACTGAGACCCCACTGGGAGCTCTGCCCAGGGAGTTCTACCCGGGGTCCCCCCGGACACCCTCAGTAGCCAGGCCACTGCCAGGACGGGGGACACATGGGCATCCCTGGTGGTGGCTGGGGCAGCTGCTGCAGCCGGCCTGGACAGGCCTGGTGCTGGGCCTTCCTGCTGACCCTGGGAGCCAAGGAAAACCAAAACGGACTCAGCCCTTGAGCATCTAAAGGCGGGATGCTGTGGGCGAGGGTGGAGCTGGGGTCAAGGGTGTCAAGGTGCTGGGAGACCAGCAGGCGGTGTCCAAGGACCGGAGAGGGACAGGGAAAGGGGCTGACAGCTTGAGCCCTGGGCCCTGGACCCAGGACCCTGCCCAGAGCAGCCTCGGGGCCTGACACACTGGCCAGGGACACGCTTGATGTCATCATTTTTATTCACTTTCTGTTTCTGAAAATAAGAGTAAACATACAATATATAATTTCTATTTATATATACTAGGCATCCTTACTGCAGGGCTCAAGAAAACCACCCTCGACCACTTGGAGGCGGTTTTTCATTCTGACACTCGGTGGAGGGGAAAGAAGTGTCCGTGACTGCCAAAAGCAGAATCTTTATTATTAAACAGCAGTAACAGGAAAACCTAATGCTCTGTGAGACACAACTGACCCTGGGAGGCCAGGAGGGGGCAGCTAAGGAGAACCCCAGAGAGGAAGCACCCCACCCCTCAGCCCTGTTCGCTCCAGGAGCCCCGGGCACACACAGGCAGTGACTGTCCTCGCGGGCAGGGGGGCGGGAGACACCTCTGCCAGGGGTCTGCCGGGGGCCCGGAGCTGTGAGGGGCTTGGGAGCTTCTGCCTGGTCTTCCCTGAGGAGCTCAGCGCCTGGGAGGGGGGCAGGCCCCGGGAGCCCCGGCCCTGACAAAGCAGCTCTCCTGGCGCCCAGGGGACCCTCCGCGCACACCAGGAGGCCTGCCAGGGCCTGTCCTGGGAGGGGCAGGGGCAGGGCCTCGCCACCGGCCGAGGCAGAGAGGGCAGAGGGACCCCGGGCTGGGGGCCCGAGGAGGGCGCTGCGGGCGCGCAGCCAGCTGCTGGTCTCCCCATGCAGCTCCTGCTGCCACTCTGGCTCCTCTGGTGCCCTCCTCACCTGACCCCAAGCGTCAGCACGATGGAAATAGGGGGGTCCTGGGCACAGGAGCACCGAGGCCCCAAGCGGGCCCTGCAGTCAGGCCTGGGGAAGCCGGGGGGTGCCAGGAGCCTCGCTGGCCCCTCGCAGGGGAGGTGCTGCCACCTCGCAGGGGGCCCAGAGGAGGCTGGGGTGGGTGCTGGACGGCCTCAGTTCTTCAGGATGGTCTCGTAGGCCTGGTACACGTGCTGGGACACCTCTGGCGCTCGGCACTTCAGGGACAGCTGTAGGGGGACAACGGTGGGAGGCAGGGACCCCTTATTCCCAGGGCTCCTCTCCAGGCTGGGGGGGCGGGGAGGAGCAGATGGCAGAGGGTGGGGCACACGTGGGGCCCGGCAGGGAGGCAGCAGCGGCTGGAGCAGCTGTGTGGTGCCGGCGATGGGGCGGCCCCGCAGCCAGTTGGGCGGGGACTGAACAGACTGCAGCCCACAGACCTGCTGTCCCAGCCCCCGCAGCCGCTGCAGCGTGAGTCAGAGCCCGAGGTGGCCGGCCCCACCATAGAGGCTGGGGGTCCCTGAGAATGTTTGGGGGCCAGGAGGGAGGCTGTGGGGGCACTGGGGGGTGGGGGGATCTTTCTGGTTTCCTGCACAGGGGGCAGTTGTGTCAGATCTGGCTCGGCTCTAACCACGAGGCGAGGAGAGCTGGCAAGCGCAATAGCAGAGACAGGCTCGCTGGCCCTCCTGCCAGCACTGCTGCTCTGAAGGGGCCCTGGTCTCCTCCAAGGGCTCCACGCTCACTGCCTGTGGGGAGTGCCCCAGCAGGCTGCGAGCACAGGGCGTGGCAGGGGGGTGGTCTGGCCCCCTGCCTGCAGCCTGCATGCATCTGCCCGGCTTTGGGGAGTGGGGGGGGTGAGGCCAGGCCAGGAGGTGGGGTGGCCAGGCGTGCCTGGGAGGACGGGGGAAGAGGAAGAGAAAAGCAGTCCGCTAACCTCCAGGTCCTGCACCGCCGGACCGGCAGGGAAGGTGGACATGCAGCGACCGGACGCAGGGAGACAGAAATTACCACCACCAGCCGCGGCGCCCATGCCGCTGGGGGCCGGGGAGCAGCGTCGGGGGTCACGCCTGCACGCTCAGGTGCAGAGAGAAGCAAGCCTGGGCTCTCGGGGGCCGAGCAGTGGCGCAGCCTCTGGGAAGCCTCGTCCCTTCTCGGGGAGCGGGGAGCCCAGGGGCCAGGGCTCCCTGGGCCCAGCGGAGCCCCGGCCCAGGACCAGGTGGGCCTCACAGGACCCGATTCTAGTCCACTTCACTGTTCGGAGACCCAATTTGGTGCCTTATCTGGGATACTTGATGGGACTGAGCTGAAGCTTTCTAAGGTCAGAATCCTGGTGCTTCTTCACACCAGGCTCAGCTGGGCTGGACGCCCCACCCCACCCCACCAGGGCCGACCCCAGCCCAGGCGGGCATGCGGCAGTAAGGCAGGGGCCTCAGGGCTGCAGGCGGGGGCAGGCGCCTCACCGTGAAGCTGGGGTTGCCAGGCTGGATGCGCAGCTCAGCCAGCACCCAGATGCCGTTGGTCAGCCTGAGAGACTGGTAGAGCATGTCCTGGCCCTCCACGTTCCTCCTGGCCACGGTGAAGATGCTGCTGCCCTGCAGCCGGCTGCTCACGGCCTCTGGGGGTCGCAAGGTCAGAAATGGGGCATCTGGCACTCAGGGCTGGGGTCAGGGCACAGGACGGCGTGGACAGGCACAGGGCTCGGGAGTCCTACCCGCGTTGAGAGGGCAGTCTCTGATCTGGAACTGGGCCTCATTCTCATTGGGAATGTCCTTCCACGTGGCCAGAAACATCTGCCGGTCTGCAGGGGCACAGGTCGGACCCCGCTCAGCACCCTCATCGGGAAGCAGGGACAGTTAGACCCTGCACCGGAGACCAGGGTGGCTCCATCACAGCCCCTCCTGCTTCCCTCAGCAAACCCCGAGCTCGTGTTCTGAGAGGGCCGCCTATGCTGCTCCCCAAGAACCCCGGGCTCCCTGCCTCTGGGCCTTCACGCCCTCCCCACACCTGCCCACGAGCAGCCCACTCATTGGTCCCAGTGACGTCACAGGCTCCTGTGGTGACGTCTGAGAGGGACCCACACCCTCTAGGCACGGGATGAGCCTTCCCGCAGGTTCTAGCTGGGGACCAGGGGTGGGCATCAGGTATGATGTGTGGCCCAGGCCCCCTGCCTTGGGGGGCCTGTGGGATGACCGTCTAGAGGCTGCAGGTCAGGCTGAGGGCAGAGCTGGCCAGACAAGACCCTCAGAGCCCCGGGAAGGTGTGACCCTCCCTCCAGGCCCTTCAGGGGAGCCAGTGACTCACGGACTCCATCCATCCGTTCTAGGGACCCCTGGGCGCCCTCAGGACTCACCCATCTTCCCGTCCTCCACAAAGAGGATGTGGAGCGGGTACAAGGTGCTGAAGTAGAAGACGTCTATGTTGTTCTTTACAGCCACCTGGGAACAAGGGGGCCCAGGTCGTCCCTGATGCCTGATGCCCATGGAGGCCCCAAGAAGCCTCTGCTCCCTGTGAGCACAGCTGGGCAGGTCCCCGCTCATCGCTTCCCCGGAAGCCATGTCTGTCTCCTCACCGCCCCCAGCCTTCCCATCCCCACCCATCTGTGTCCAAGAACAAGACTCCACAGACAGCCCTGTGGCAGAGCCAGCCAAGCCCCGAGGGCTTCCCCGCCCTGCCCGGGGCACGTGGAAGGACCGGGTGCCTGGTCCCCCCGGGGACGCACCTGCAGATTGTTCAGCGGCTCTGTCTTCATGACCGAGCCCGCCGTGCTGAGAGGCAGGGAGATCTCCACGGTCTGGGTGGGGCTGAGCGGCGCGTGGACCTGGAGTGGGGCAGCGGGGGCCAGGCCAAAGCTGGGGAGAGAGAAGCCCCACAGGGATGGTAGGGAGCAGGTGCTGACACAGGGCAGGCGGGCTCCTGGGGCCTCGGAGCCTGGCAACAGTGGGGCAGAAGGCTCTCCAGTGAGCCGGCCTCACCCCAGGCCAGACCCAGGCCGGAGGGACAAGCTCCCGACCCCCACTCCCAGCCCTCAATGGCCCCACGGACAGGAAGAGAACCTGGGTTAGCCGAAGCCCACCTCTGCTCCCCTTTCTCCTCTGGGTGAGGCGCTGGGCAGGCCCAGGTCAGTGCGTCCTGCCCTGCCCTCCAGGAGCCTCATCTCATACCAGGGGCCTAAAAGCTTCTTCTAACCTGAAAACTCTGTGGCTGCCCACGTCTCAGTGACCAACCTCCCACCTCCCCGGAGGGACGTGACCATCCCAGGGGAGACCCGGGTTTACTGTCTGGGCCAGAACTGGCGGATCACATGACAGCCACGGAGCTTCAGGAAAGCCCTGCCTCTTGGTAAAGTGGCAGGTGGGCAAATCAGAGGGCACCCAGAACATGAGAGACGCCTGGCCACGGGCTCTGGGAAGGTAAGTCACCACGGTACCGACTGGGACCGTGGACTCACTCCCTGTGCCCAGGCAGGGCATCTGAAGCCCTGTCCTCGTAAACACAGTGACAGGCCCACAACCTCCCGTCTTCCAGGACATGGAGACTCAGGGAGGGGTGGGCCCAGACCTGGGTGAGCAGCACTGCTGAGACCCAGAGCTTAAGCTGCCTGACCTCAGCCTGTGCTCTGCCCATGGTGGTCTCAGACCCACCCAGGACACAGCAGGAGATGACGTGGGGATGCCAAGGCCATCATGGTGTCTCAGCACTCCAGGCTCTCCCGGAGCTTGACCTCTGCCAACTGTGACTTTGGGTGAGGCATTCACCCTCTCTGAGCTCAGGTATCATTACCTACTTTGCTGATTTAGTCACTAAGTCATGTCCGACTCTTGCAACCCCATGGACTGTAGCCTGCCAAGCTCCTCTGTCCATGGGATTCTCCAGGCAAGAATACTGGAGTGGGTTGCCATTTCCTTTTCTACTAAACGGGGCTTAATGGCATCGACCTCACTGGGCCGTAAAGGGGCTCAAGAGAGACAAAGACTCCTAAAGTTCTCGACACAAGGCTTGGTACCCAGGGAGTTTTCCACACGCAGTTGAGTTCACTATGAGCGATCATCAGGAGCACTCCTGGGGGCCTACAGGGCCTGAGGGAAAGGAGCAGTGTCCACCTCTCCAGTCTGACAGACGGCCGGGAAACGCTGGCGCACAGGCTCTCCTGGAGGAAGCAGCCCCTTCAGTCAACTTCTTAGAGGCTCAGTTTGCTCATCACCAGAGCCACTCAGGAAGAAGGATCATCAGGAGAGGCTGCCTGAGTTCCCCAGAGAGCCCTGGCCTAGCCGGCCAGGTCCAAGGAGACCTTGCCCACCAGACCCCCAGTGCAGGGGACCCTGGGGCGAGGCGCTGGGAGCAGACGTCGCTCCAGAGGCCCTGTCCACTCCGTCTGCCTTCTTCGCGACAGGCCCTGAGAGGGGAGCCACTCAGGTCTGGAGATTTTGTCAGTGAAACACCACCCTGGGCAGTGGGGAGATAAAACTAAAGGGAGGTGCCTTACCCCCCCAACTCCCCACCACTGACCTCGGACTTTGGTGCCCACAAAGAGAGGTCACGGTGAGGAAAAGCACTGCCTCAGAGAGAGCTGGCCCAAGCGGCAGTTGTGAGGAAGACCCTCCTCCACCAGAAAGTGGGGCCGGGCCGCAGGCCCCAGTGCGGGCCTTCAGCAGGCCAGCCTCAGGGGCTCACCTGTTGCGGTTGAACTGGATTGCAAAGTCGGTCATGACCTGCAGGGCCTTGTTGGTCAGCTGCAGGTCCATGGAGATGGAGCCCGCCTGGCGGGTGAAAGTGCCCGAGATCTCCAACCCTTTGGCCTTCATGGCCGGGAGCCAGACCTGCAGGGAAAACGATGGGGAGGGGGCTGCCACATCCCCCACGCCACTGCCCACCTGCGGGTCCGTCCCCTGCCCCCTTCTCTCACACCTGAAGGGGCCTCTCAGATGGACCACACCTGCCTGGACTGCCAGGGGATGACCGTGTGAGCCTCGGAATGAGAGGAAGGACCCCGCACGGCCTGCCCGGGGCCCCTGCAGCGGGGTGGCTGCCTGCTGGAGCAGCACGGCACATGGAGGCGCTCGGCGTGCCCAAAGCCTGACCCGAGTCTCCGGAGGTCAGAGCAAGAACAGAATAGGGCTGAGGAAGGTGGAGAGGCCAGCGGGCCCCACAAGCCTCCAGATGAGCCCAGGAGAGAAAGCCCACATGTACCTGGGGCCTGGCCAGAGCCAGAGGACCCCGGGCCATCACAGCCTGTCCTCCTCGCAGACAGCAGGGCTGGCCTTTAACTGCGCCAACAGGCCTGAGCAGGGACAGGACCCAGGAGGACCTCTCGCCTGGCAGGCTTTCCTTGCCTGTTTGGCTGCCCTTGTCCTTGGCCGCTCAGCTCCAGAGAGCCACCTCCTCCGGGAAACCCATCCCCATGGTCCTTATCTGGGCTCTGCGGCAATGACGTTCTTGCAAATAAACCGTCTCCGCTGTGCCCGGACAGCGCTTCGAGGGGGAGGACTCTGCTTTTCTGTTTTGCATCCTTGGCTCGGAGCCTGATGTGAGACTGGTATTCGGGGAACATCTGCTGAGTGAACGGCATGGACCAAAGCCCTGCCCAGGAGGGACACCCACAGACGCCATCCTGTGGACGCGCAGACGCCTCTCTGGCTGCCATCCTCACCAGGACGGCTCAGCCCCGCCCGAGGCCAGCCTCCCCAGCAGCCCTCCATCAGTGAGCGTGGCCACGGTCACCCCGCCCAGGTCCCATCAAGGCCCCCTCCTCCCCTGACACCACGTCCTCCGCTCTCCCCTGTCCACAGGCACCTCCCGCGGCGGAGCCACCGTCAGAGTCCCCAGATGAGAGGGCAGCCACCCGGGTAGCTGCCCATGTCTTTTTCCTTTTTTTGATTAATTTATTTTTTAAACTGAAGGATAATTTCTACAGAATTTTGTTTTCTGTCAAACATCAACATGAATCAGTCATAGATGTGTGTATGTCTGCCCAAGTCTTCTCTCCCCAATCTCCAGAGCAGCCAAAGCCATCTTCAGAAAGGCAAATCTCATCACGGCACCCTGGAACCCCCTCAGTGGTGTGATGCTTCCACTGCCCACGGCCTCCATGGCCAGATGCCCTCCCTGGGTCAGTGTGCAAGGCTCCTCGGGCCACACACACACACACACACACACACACACACACACACTCTCTCTCTCTCTCTCTCTCTCTCCTCTGCTTGGACAGCACTCCCCACCCCCACCCCATCCTACTTGCTAACCTGCTCATCCTTCGCTCCCCCAGACAAATCCACAGGCAGAACCTCGGGATTTTAGTTGTGAGCTGTGACTGGGAGCATAGAGAGCACCCCAGGGTGACTGCCCTGCCCCACCCTGCCACCGGGCTTCCTTCCCAGGTTCTTCAGAACTGCCACTATCACCGTCCTGACTGTTAGGGGTGGGATATCGTGTCTCCTGGTCACTGTCGGCTCATGGAGTCTAGAACTGTCAGCTCCTTCTGGCTACAATATTTGAGGAACTTCAAGTTCTTGTACATATGACAGCCTCACCCTCCTTCACCAGGAGGGGCTGGGACTGCAGACAGGACAAACAATTTGAGGTGGTCACAGTGCTGTGAGAAAAAGGTAGCCTACACAGTCACTATTTCTGGAGGGAGAGCACACCCACATCCCTGGGACTAAAGTGGCAGGGGGAAGCCCTGCCCATGTTGAAAAGGACTCCTCCTCCAGGCAGCCTGCCCCGATTACTCCTATCCTGGTGATCCCTTCACCTCTCCTTCCAGCTGATACACTCACCTGGTCCTCCACTAAGACAAAGCAGTGATAATACACATTAAAACGAATCTACACGCAGAGGGCAAGCTGATTCTGACAATCATGGCACTGAAGTAGGTACACAGAGGTTTTCAAACACTTTAGGATCAATCACCTAAGGGTCGCGGGCAGGGACTTTGGTGCCATAGACCTATATTCAGTTCCAGACTGTTGTCACTTATAACTACAGGACCTTAAAGCAATCAGATTTCTCAACTAGAAAACAGGAACACCAGCGCCACACGGCTGCCAGGAGAACTCTGTGGGGTGGGGGCTGTGCCGTGTGTGTGCACCCCTGCACAGAAGTGGGAGGCCGCTAGTGCTAGGCTTGCCACCAACTGGGGGACCCTCAGGCCCAGATCCTGCAAAAAGGCGTGGCTGGTGGCTCTGGCCACCACCACGGTTGTTTGGCAGGCACACCCAGGGAGGCTGGGGCAGCGCAGGTGCTGGCTGGCAGCTCTCCTCATCATAAGGGATATGTCCCTGGGCCTCTGAAGCCCTGCTGGGTCCTGCTTGGGGAGGGGACCTTGGAAGAGAGAGGGGCGCTGGCTGAGTGTTGCGAGGCTCAGGCCATGTCCGTCCCCTCTCGCAGCTTCCTTGAGGCCAAGGGCCCAGCCCACACCATGCTGTCCCCAGCTCTCCTTCCCTCGCCTGCCCTCACCACTGCCAGCCGGAACCCTTCTCCCCGCCGTCCCCATGTCCTGCCAGGCCTCCTTCCAGCCCTACAAAGCCTTCCTGTCCGGCCACCATCAGCAGTCACAACTCCTCACTGGCTCCTGGCTTCTGCTCTAGCCCTTAAGTTTGGCCTCCACACAGTGGCCAAAGCGATTGCTCTTTAAGCTTGGTTTCTGCTTAAAACCCACCGTGGCTAGGATGGTGAGCAAAACCTCAGAGCTGGGGCCGTGACCTTGCCAGCTCCCTGCCTCCTCAGTGCTAGTCCAGCCAGGAGTCTGAGGTGGGGTGGGACTACCTGGGTGGCACAGGGGGCATCTGGGGCACCTCCAGGCTGATAATGGGGACAGCTTTAGCTGACTGGGGTCAGGGATGCAGCCGTGGGAATGGCAGGCTTCACCGTGAGCCACTGTCCTGCAGACCCTGAGTATTTTCTGCAGGGTTTCAGCACGCCCGGAAATTCCCAGGAACTTAATGATGGTGAGAATCCGTGGAAGCCTGTTCTCTGTTTCGTCGGGAACTTTCTGGGAGTCGGTCACCACGTCAGAAATGAAAGGCGCCTCCGGCCCATCGCTCACGGCGCCTGCGCTGTGGGGCCACAGTGACTGCTCTGCTGCCAAGCCCTGGCAACGCCGTCCCATCTGTCGGGGCGGGCGTGCCCAAGCCTGCACCACACTGAAATGAAGCTTTCTGTTCTCTTCAAGTCTCCTCACGCGATGACAGCATCTTACCATTTCGGAAATTTTACGAGTAGGCAGATCTCATTCATTACAAAAGGAGGGGGCGCTATGAAGTGCCTGTCATCAATCTGGGGCACTGGGTCAAGCCACACTGAGAACCACTGACCAGTCACTAGACGGGGCTTCTGCTGTTCTCTGGAAGGTGAGCACTCCCCCTCAGCCCCCCATTTTCGCCTTGCTAATTCTGACTTGGGCCGCAGGACTGAGCTCCAGTGACACCTCCTCTGGGAAGCCCTCCGCAGGCCCCCACACCAGACTCGGCACCCCTTCCCTGTGCTCCTGCTGCTCTCCGCATCGCCGGATCAACTGCTGCTCCGGGCAGCTCGGCCGGCCTGAGCTAGCCCCACCCAGCCGGCCACTGAGGGAGCCCACACATCTGCCTCCCGCTTCCCACGGGCCCACGGCACTTACTGCTTTGGGAGCCACATAGGATCCCGACAAGGTGCCCACACCACTGGTCAGGTCAAAGAGGTCACTCAGGCCACTACCCATGGGCGCTCCTAGGTTGGCCGGTACTGCTGCTGCTGGGGGTGCCACAAAGTTGGGGGCCCCGATCTAGAGGAAAGGGAAAGGGGTCAGAGGCAGGCACGCCAGAGGAAGTACGGCCGCCTGGCCCTTTAGAAGACGGGGGCGGGCAAGAGGGTGTCCTGCAGGGCTGCCTTCAGGTCAACTCTAAGTTGCAGAAACAAGACAGAGTGAGGTGGGTGGAGAGGAGAGGCTGAGCCCTCCCGTGCCCTACAAGCCCCAAGGGAAAGAGCTGGGCACGCTCGCAAACTGACAGGCCACGGATAAAAGGGGCACTCGACACAGTGCTGTGAGGGGGCAGTGCTCAGAGACTGGAGCCCACCGCAGGATGTCAGGGAGGGCTCGTGGGGGCCTCCGGATGACAAGGCAACTTCACAGGAGGGTGATGAGGGTGGGCGGAGGACCTAATGGATGCGGGCACCAGGCAGGCAATGCAGAGGCTGCCAGGGTGCTGGACAGAGGCCAGGGTTAGCCGGTAAGGGCGATGGCTCTGACACCCCTGCCCTGGGGCGCCGGGCGGGTGATCAAGGAGCAGCAGGACGAAGGCTTGGTGGTACAGGGTGGAACCGTACCCCGTCAGGCTCATCCCCCATCTCCCAGCAGAAGCAGGCAGGGTGAAGAGAACAGGCAGCCACATGCAGAGAGAAAGCCAGGAGAGAAGACAGAGAGACAAGACAGGGAGGAAAGAGGCAGAAGATTAGTCACGGCTGTTCCACCCGACCCCACGGGGCCTGTGCGAGGCTGCAGCGGCCTAGGAGGGGCCCAGGTCTCTACGATGGGCAGCGCCCCGCCCCGCACCCCCGGCCCCACTCGACCACCCTTGTCCTCCTGACGTTCCCTGTGCTGTGGCCTTGGGGACCTGGCCCGGGTGCCACCTCCACCTGGCTCTCCAGCTGCCTGAAGAATCCCGAGACAGCAGGCCATCCCGCCACCGCCTTCCTGGGGGAGGGGCTGTCTTACATCTCGTGGGCCTCTCTCAGGCCTGCTGGGCGGCTACCCCCGGTTGGCGCCGCATGTGAGGGAGTGGGCGCAGGGGTGGCTCCCCCAGCCTTACAGAGCCAAGGTGCCCGCGGGCCAGACTCAGAGGGTAAGGGAGAACAGCCCCCAGGACTCTTGGGGTTCAGCAGCCCAGCAAGGGGCCAAATCCATGTCTGCCACTTAGCAGCTGTGTGCGCTGGGCAGGACATCACCTGACCTCTTTACGCCTCAGCTTCTCACCGATACAGGAGCTACATGATCCCTGGGTGGCATCTGGCAGAGAAGGTGTTCCTGATCCCTTCCTAAAGACCACCCTTAACCACGTCCAGGCGCCTAGGACGTACCAGGCTGTCGAGGCCGCCGCCAAGCAGGTCCACAGCGCCCATCTGCACCGCGGAGGTGGCCAGGGGTGGGCCGCTGACCGGAGGCCCGAGGTCCAGGTTGAGGAGGTCACCCAGCAGGTCGCCCTGCGTAGGGACGACATCCAGCTGCTCTCCAGGGGGCGCTCCGGCAGGGGCCGTCTCCGGGCTCTCTGTGCTTTCACTCCTGCTGGGACGTGGGGAGACGCTCAGCAGGGTGGGGAGCAGTGCCGTCTCCAGGAGGCCAGACCCTGTCTCTGGGATCCGCCCCCTCACTGTCCCGGAAGCCTGTCTACACCCCACTTCCTCCCCTTCCCACGCCGGACCCATCTTGCTCCGGGCTGAGGGGAGGGCGGGCCATCTGTATCCCCCAACTCAGTCCACTTTAAGGTCCCCGGAGGACAGGACAGCCAGGCCAGAAAGCCATGGGAGCCGCGGAGGAGGGACCTGAGCACACTGGGGCCCTGGAGGCGGGCAGAATTGGGTCTGAGCCCAGCCCTGCGGCCTGCGCTCTTCGCCAGGCTCTCAAGCGCTCCCTGCCTCTGGTCCCTCTCTTCAGGGAGGACGCCTCTCAGAGCTGTTATCACCTAGCCCACACCTGGTGTGTAGTGCGCATTCACCAGGGCCGCTAGAATCCTAATGCTGCTCAGACTCAGGCCCGAGCACTGTGCTACTGAACCGGGGAGGTGGGCTGGCGACTGGCCCCCGGACTCACGAGGCGGTGCGGGGCGGCAGGCTCTTGTGCACGACGCCCCGGCCTCCCTCCACGAAGGCGCTGGGTGGCTTGTGGTAGACGGAGGCCAGTGTGCCGATGTAGCAGATGAGCTCGTCCAGCAGCGTGGGCTCGATGAGGTCTGTCTCCTCGGAGATGAGCGGCTTCTCGGCCAGCACCACCTCCTTGGCAGCCACGGGGTCTGTGGAGAGCAGGCGCCAGTAGATGTAGCCGCGGTCCCGCAGGTCCGGGTTGTCTGAATCCTGGGAGGTGACGAGAAGGGCGTGAAATGCCAAGCACATGGGTGATGGGGAGGGGGAGCCCCACAACAGGGGGTCACAGGGTCACTAACTTGACTGCCTGAGAGCTGGTGGGAGCCTGCCCCTTTAGGCGCAGAGTGGACGCAACCCAGCCCCCTGGCTCCCCTCAGGCCAGCCTGCCCCTGCCTCCGCTCCCTGCCCCCTGCACGGCCTGCCCTCCTGGTTCTCAGGGACTTCCCTCTGCTCTGGGTTTACAGGCTGGCTCCGCATCGCCCCCACCCCGCCCTCCCTATCTGTCTGACTGAGCTCCCTGAGCTGGGGATTAGGGGCTGGACTCCCGGTCTGGCTCCCTGGGTGGAGGGGTGGAGCCAGGGCCGGCTGGGCACCGCAGGGAGGCCGCACCCACCTGCGTGGCCAAGCTGAGGACCTGTTGCACCAGCTCCTGGGTCTCTGTCGGCTTCTTCAGAAAGAGCTTCACGATAGCCGTCAGCAGCTGCAGCTGCACCTGGGGACGGGGAGAGGCGGCGAGGGGGGAGGGTGAGCTCTGGACCTCAGAAACCGAAAGGGTATTCAAAGGCCGAGAGCAGCTCTCCTGGGTCTGGGCTGGCCACGCAAACAAGCCAGGCCAGCAGCGGGGTGGCCGGGCTGAGAAGTCTGGACCTTGGCCTGAATGGTCAGAAGGAGCTGGCCACGGAGCTGTGCGGCACCCCAGGCCGGCTGGGGACTGCTGCCCAGCGCTAGGGCCCCAGAAACCCATCAGGGCTCTGGGCCCACAACCGTCAGCAGCTCAGCTCATGGGGGCAACACATGTGCCTGGTGGGCTTACCGGAGACCACCCGCCAACAAGGAGTGAGTGCCAGGGATGCCGGGCAGATGGGGCAACTGGGCCCGCAGAGCCTTCCTCCCGAGGTGGAACGATGCCCGCCCGGCCCCCAGCAGCCCCACCTCCTGCCCGCCCTGTCTGCACCTGAGCACGCCTCCCATCCCCCCTCCCTACTTCTGCAGCTCCAGCTCCCCTTCACTGGTGCCGCCCCACAGTCCTGGCAATGTTTTGCAGCCACCGGGCCGCCCTGCAGACAGCCCCTGAGGGCGGGGTTCAAGTCTGCCCCTGCTGCATCCCTGGCTATCGTTCACTCCAAAGCCTGGCGTGAAATAGGCACTTAAGAGAAACTTGCCAGAAAAAAAAAACACTTGCTGACTAAAAACACACCTCTGAAAAAACAGTTCTTTGCACGCAGCCCTTCCTTAGCCCCATCTCATTTTGTCAGCCCTGGCACAGGAAGACAACCAGAGGCTCCCCAGATGGTGCCAGGGACGGGACTGCAGCAGAAGGGCGGTGGCGGGACTGGCAGCAGCTTCTGGGCCCGTCCGAAGAATGGCACTTATGAAAACAAGCAGCGGAGCTGCCTGGTGCGCAGGGCAGGCTGATGCTGGGAGGCAGGAGCATCCAAAGTCCCTGCGCTCTGGGGACACAGAGGCCAACGGTGGAGGAGCAGGCTGGCTGTCTCCAAGAGGCGGCTGGGGACTGGCTTCCAGACCTGGCTCAAGTCCCTGGCCGGGGAGCCGGGAGAAGGCCGCTCACCCTCAGCTGGTGAGGGAGAGGCGCAGCCTACTTCAGGGGTTCTTGCCCTGAAGACACAAGCCATGGCAGCTGACTTGGAGCCAGAGCTAGACAGCACTTCCTCTGAATGCTGATTTCATCACTTCCCAGCTGGTGACCCTGGACAAGTCATTTAACTGCTGAGTCTGCTTCCTCCTTTCTAAAATGGATGAAATGCCTCACAGGGTGGACGGGAAGTCAGCGAGACGACAAATGGAAAGAACCGTGTCCTCTGCCCAAGGCACAACAGCGGTCATGGCTGCTGTCAACACCACCACAACCACCACACAGGGACTCTTCACCAAGTTCTCCCCAGCCCCGGGCTGCTGGCTGCCGGCACTCATTCCCCCCTGTCCGTCTGCTGTGCTGCCTGGAACCAAGGCTGAGTCCCTGCCTAATTTCCCCTCCCCCCGCAACACACTCTGAGGCCCGAGTCAGCCTGCAGCTCAGGGCTTGTTGTTGTTCAGCTGCTAAGTCGTGTCTGACTCTCTGCGACCCCACGGACTGCAGCATACCAGGCTCCTCCGTCCTTCACTATCTCCTGGAGTTTGCTCAAATTACTATCCATTGAGTCAGTGATGCTATCTACCCATCTCATCCTCTGTTGTCCCCTTCTTTTGCCCTCCATCTTTCCCAGCATCAGGGTCTTTTCCAATGAGTCAATTCTTTGCATCAGGTAGCCAAAGTACTGGAGCTTCAGCATCAGTCTTTCCAATGAATATTCAGCGCTGATTTCCTTTAGGATTTACTAGTTTGATCTCCTTGCTGTTCAAGGAACTCTTCTCCAGCACCACAGTTCAAAAACATCAATTCCTTGGCATTTAGTCTTCTTGATGGTCCAACTCTCACATCGGTATGTGACTACTGGAAAAACCATAGCTTTGACTATACAGACCTTTGTTGGCAAAGTAATATCTCTGCTTTTTAATATGCTGTCTAGGTTTGTCATAGCTTTTCTTCCAAGGAGCAAGTGTCTTTGAATTTCATGGCTACATTCACCATCTTCAGTGATTTTGGAGCCCAAGAAAATAAAATCTGTCACTGTTTCCACTTTTTCCCCTTCCATTTGCCATGAAGTGATGGGACTGGATGCTATGATCTTAGTTTTTTGAATGCTGAGTTTCAAGGCAGCTTTTTTACTCTCCTTTTTCACCCTCATCAAGAGGCTCTTTAAAAAAAAAAAAAGAGGTTCTTTAGCTCATCTTCACTTTCTGCCATTAGTGTGGTGTTATCTGCATATCTGAGGTTGTTGATTTTTTCTCCTGGCAGTCTTGATTCCAGCTTGTGATTCATCTAGACTAGCATTTCGCATGATGTACTCTGCATATAAGTTAAATAAGCAGGGTAACAGTACACAGCCTTGTCATACTCCTTTCCCAATTTTGAACCAGTCAGTTGTTCCACATCTAGTTCTAACTATTGCTTCTTGACCGATATACAGGTTTCTCAGGAGACAGCCAAGATGGTCTGGTGTTCCCGTCTCTTTAAGAATTTTCCACAGTTTGCTGTGATCCACACAAAGGCTTTAGTGTAGTCAATGAAGTAGAATTAGATGTTTTTCTGGAAGTCCCTTGTTTTCTCCATGATCCAAACAGAAGTTGACAGTTTGATCTCTGCCCCTCCCCTGCCCACAGCTAGAGAAGCTTACAAGCTAGGACGAGGGGGCTCAAAAAGAATCTAAAGTAAGTTCCAAAATCGCAAAGCACTAAGTATTCTTATAAAAGTTCTTGCTTCCCATGAGGCACAGAAAGCGGGCAGTTTACACACACTGAGTCTGAGGACGCTCTAGGCTGGCCAGAAGACAAGGAGAGGGTCGCCCGCCCCTACGATGGGAGAGTAAACCAGAACCGCCTCTGTGCCACAGCAGTCTGGACACAGCAACCCGGACCGGCAACACGCAGGCCCTCCTATCAGCACCACGCTCCTACGAACCGGTCCTCCAGCTGCGCCTGCAGATGAGCTTCCCACAGCTCGCTCCCAGCAGAGCTGTTTAAAAGAGCAGAAGGTTGGACACCTACATACCAGTCGGGGACCCTGCTTAAACAGGGTCCTTCTGCATAAAGCTAGGAAGCTGTAAAAAGCTCTCACAATGTCAGGGCTTTCAGACGTATTTTTAAGGGAAAAACACAACCTGCTGATCAGTTTGAATCTGCATGGTTTACTATAAGTAATATTTAAAAATAAGTGAGAAGGAAATATATAAACAGTTGGTCCTCATGATTCACACAGGACATACCTGCAAATCTGTCTGCTTGCTAACATTTACTCATGACCCAGAAACCCATGCTTATGGCACCTTCACAGTCATTAACAGACTGCAGAGCAGTGAATGTGTGCTTTGCCCAACATATAAGCTCCTGGCTGAGACCAAGTGAGGTGGTGCTCAGTTCTCATGGTAAACGTGCCAGGTTGTTCACAGCTTGGGGCCTTTTGTTGGTGATTTTGCTGTTTACAAGGGGCCCACCCCACCCCATTGTACAGCTGGAGAGCTCTCTGGGGCTCCTAGGGCAGGAAGGCTGAGATATGCCTTTGGAGAAAATACATGTGTCAGATGAGCTTTGTTCAGGCGTGAGTTACAGCTGCTGGCCACGAGTTCAATGCTAATGAATCAACGGAATGTATTAAGCAAGGTGTCTTTAAACAGAAGCACACGTAATGACGTTTATCCTGACCAGTAGATAAACATGCGGTGACTGAAGGTGTGTAGAAACACGACTCTATTTCTCCTGGGAGCAAGGGTTTAGCGTACTAAATCAGAATTTGACTTTACGGAACGTTAAGTATCACAAGTGATGAAAAGTGACTATTTTTTGTCTCTGTGGAGGAACTGGCTGGTGTGTTCCTAAACTCGCTCTGTCTGGAAGCAACCCACCCACCCTCCCCCCAGAAACCAACAAGTAACATGGTGCTTTCCAGGAGAACTCAAGGCCAGGAGAGTGGCAGGAAACAGAATTTTCACTATATATCCTTTTGTGTCTTTTAGCTTTTGAACTAAGTCAATGTAGTACCTATCCAACCATAAATACAAAATTAAAACAAACTCAGGACTTCCCTGGTGCCAACGCAGGAGACACAGGTTTGATCCTGGCTCCAGGAAGATCCCACAGGCCCCGGGCAACCAAGCCCATGCACACAACTACTGAGCTCGTGCACCTGGAGCCCGTGCCCACAACGAGAGAAGCCAGCACAACCGGAGCCCGCGCACCACAGCCGGAGAGTAGCCCCCGACTACTGCACTAGAGCCCCGCATGCAGTCACGAAGATCCAGCAGAGGCAAAAATAAATTAATTAAAAACAACAACAAAACCGAAAACGTCTGCAGCCTTCAGAGTCCTCCACCACAGACTGTCCTCAGGAGCCCCGCTTAGGCACCACAGTGAGGGACGAAAGGGACCACGCCTGTCACCCGTTCACCTCTCACATGAACGTCCCCACGGCGCCAGTGGTATTGGAGGGGCAGGGCCCTGAGGCCCGCAGATGCGCCTCACCTGGGTGCTCTCGTCGTGGAAGCCCTCCAGGAAGCTCTCCAGCAGCTCGTCCGCGTTGTCGATCCGCTCAGCGTACTCGCCCACGATCCAGATCATGGCGGCGCGCGCCTCGGGCTCGTCCAGGGAGTCTAGGTTCTCACACAGTGTGGCGATCACGCTCTCGTACCTGGAGACCAGGGCACGGCCTGTATGTGAGCACCGAGGGCGCCCAGGCTGCCCGTGAGGGGACAAGAGACATGGGCAGCTACTCTACGAGAGCCCGAGAGGCTGGTGGGGAACAGGATATGAGCTTTATCCTTTCCGTTTTGGTTCCTGTTTAGGCCTGGGGAGCAGAGCAGCAGGGATACAAGGAAGAGCAAGCGCTCCCTGTGCTCCTCTTCCCTTCTTCCCCGGCCCCCCAGAACTACAGCGTCCTCACGGGCAGGGAGTGGTGACCACGCACTTGTTGGGGTACTTGCGGAAGATGTCCTTGATGACCACGATGGCTTCCTGCACCACGTAGTTGACTTTGGTCTGGATGAGATCGAGCAGCGTGCTCACGCAGCGCTCGGCAGATTGCTGTGTGGGAAGAGGAGAGCGTGGGCCAGGCCTCGAGGCCACTTCTAGCACAACTTCTGCCTGCCCGCCTCGGTCAAGGGCCCAGTCACACCCTGCCCACGGCAGCAAGTAGCTAACCAGTGAGAAGATGAGTAGAGAATGGTGGCTGGGGGGCGGCAGGGGCACTGGGAGGCAGAACGAGGCTGAGGGGAGGCCGGCCGAACTTGAGAGCAGGGAGGTCTCTGGAGCTCTCCCAGGCCAAGCCCTGAGGTCAGGGCTTCACTTCTGCTTGTTCCAAAGAACGGGCTTCAGTGACCAAAAGCATTTAGGAAGCCTCTGCTGGGACCAGGCCTCTCCACACCCCCTAACTCCAACACACTCTGTCAGACTGTGGGAGCGACTCCTCACTGCCATCAGAGGTGTCAAAGGGGAAATGTCTTGAGAGGCGGGGCTCAAGGGACCCCCTGGCCTCCAGGGACCCATTTAAGGAGCGTCGGGTCAGTGGCCCAAGAACATCTCCAGAGGCAGAGAACATGAGTGATGAAGGGCCAGGACACAGGGGTCTGAGTGACCCTTGACAACGTGGAAAAAAGGGCACAGACAGTTGAATCGTGAAACTTGCTAAAACATTCAGCAGGCAGAGCCCCCTGCCCCAAAGTCCATGAAGTGAAAGCTAAGTCTACTGGGGCCACCATCAGCTTGGGCTGCCCCACCGTCTGCACTAACGCTGCAGGAGATCCCGTAGTGATGACGGGCTGATTTCACCTGCAGCAACTCAGAGGCCCAAGGGAGATCACAGACGAGGAGGAGCCAGGTCTGTAGCATGGGGGCCTGCGGGGCTCCAGCTGTGACCCTCAGGCCCTGCCGGGTCGTGAGCAGCTGACAGATCCTGTTTGAACCAGACTGGTCTCCTGCCTTCGGACTCCTTGCCCTTCCTCCTTTCTCCCACCCAGGACAGTCTCAGAGGCTCACCTCCACCTTGATGGCACAACGGCCGATGGCGCGCACAGCCTTCCGTACGAAGTCCACATCCACCTCGGTCGCGTACTCTTTCAGCTCCGCCAACACCTGTGGCCCAGACAGAGGAGAGGGAGTCGGGGGGATCCGGCAGGGCACCCTCCCGGAACACCCCTGGGCTGGGGCGAGCACAGACGCAAGCCTGATGGGATTCTGCCTCCCATTCGAGGCGCGAGTCCTGAGGGAGGGAGGGAGCTCTCGGTGCCCGAGAGGAAACCAGGGAGGACGACTTGTCGGGGCTCGACAAGCCTTGTTTCGGGTGATCTAGCAAACGCATCCACTTTGATGGACGGGCGATTAAGTGGTAACAGAAAGAACAGGCTCCTTAATCACAAAAATACCCAATAACATCTGTGGAGAGCTTGCTCATGGCGCCCAGGGCCCGGACACCACCCTCTGCTGACCTGGGCGATGTTGGCCTGGGAGGCCAGGCGGATCATGATGTCTAGCTTCTCCAGCTTCACGTAGATGGGGTCATTGTACTTCACAAAGAACACCTTCATCTCGTGCTTCAGGATCTCAGGCCTGGGGGCGGGCGAGGGTGCCCAAAGAACAAAGAGCAGGTCAGGGGCCTCTCAACTGCTGGGGCATTTCTGGGGTCGGACGTGGAGCCTGATATCCGTGGAGGCAGTGACTCCCATGGCCACACGCTCCTGGGCAGGGGACCTGTGACCAGGGTTCTGACCAGCTCCTGCATGTCCAACCACATCCCAGGAAAGGAAACAAGAAACACTTCATATTCAGGAGGTCGCAGGCACCAGGGAATGGGCTTGGAAGTCAGGCCTCAGTTTCAATTCTAACTGGTGACCTCAGGCCATCTTCTCACTCATGAGACAGGAAGCAATCTGTCAGAAACGTTACCATCGCAGGCCTGTGCTGCTAGTCCCAGAAAGGCCTGGCATCTGGGAACCTGGCTCTCGAGAGTGCACCCACTGTTCCCAAGTAGGACACAGGGGGCTGACTGTGCCTTGACTCACAGGGGAGGGAGCACAGGAGGCTGGCGCGAGGACTTCTCCGACGCCACCTGGCTTTCTCCCTATGATCCAGCTGTACAGCCTAACCAGGCCAATAAACCTCAGCCATGGAGACGATACGCTGTCTCCTGTGAGTCCTAGTGAATCTCTGAATGCGTGTGTGGGGGTCCTGGGGACCCCAACACGGACACCTACATGAGAGGCAGATACAAAGCACGTGGCATGATGCATGCCTGCTTCAGAGAAGGCACTCACTGTCAGAAGTGTCCGTGCTCCTCCCTCAATCGGCACTTCCTGCCTCCTTTTCCCAGCTGAGGAAACCTGAGGGGGAGCGGCCTGCCCTGCGTCACACATCTAGTGCTAACTGGGGCGGGAGTGAGATGAGAGTCACCACCCCTACCTGGCTCCTACTCCCACGGCCTGTCCACAAGAGAGAGGAGGAACAGAACAGTGATGAGGGGAGAAGACACAGCGGGAGGAAGGAGGGGCCCTGAGTCCCTGGTGCTGCTGAGCAGGCTGCGATGGGGTGGGAGGGCTCCTGGTGATGCAGGGGCCTCGGCCGTGCTGGGTGGGGGCGGTGGGGTCCCTCACTGGACAGCTGGAGAGGTGGTTTCCACCATCAGGACTCGGCACTAGCTGCCCAGCACACGTGGGGCCCAGGCCTGGTGGTGCTTCTGAATTAGCTGCTGATGAAGCTGTTTGACCAGAGAGGCTGGAAGCTGAACTGCAGAATCTGCCCTGCCTCACCCCCAGCACGCCGCTGCCCGGCCCCTCCCAGGATGGTTCACGGCTTGCTCGCCCCACCCACCCTGGTGCCTTCCCTTAGGAGCAGCGGCTCACTGCTGTGGTCATCCCTGCAGGGTAGACAGAAACGGGTGCTCTGCACTCCGAGCGGCCCTAAGGCTGATGCAGAGTCCATGTCGCCCTCTAGCCTCCAGAGCTTGGACTCCTTCCCCAGGAAGAAGGCATGCGCACACACCACCTTACACCCTGCTTCAGAAGGGCTATGGGGGCTCAGACCAGCCACTGTCTGTGGTTAAGAAGTGCGTGCTAGCCTCTACCTGCCCAGGCTAAGCCAAGGCTTCTCAGCCTCTCACTGCTGGTGTTCTGGGGGTGGGGGTGGGGGGGTCGCTCCTGTGCACCATAGGCTGTGGAGCAGCCTCCCCGCTTCCACCCCTAGATGCCAGCAGCAGCAGCCCCCATGATGACAACAAAGAATGTCTCCAGATGCTGCCAAATGTCCCCTGTGGGACAAAGATACCAGTGGCTAGGAATCCCTGGTGTAAGCCGTTGAGATACCCTATCCAGTGACAGGCCAGTCTCCCTTCGGAGCCCCCATTCTCAGCAGAGACCGCCCCCTCCCAAGCAGTCCCACTACCTCTTCTGCACGATGAGGTTGATGTTTCTCAGGGCCACATACTGCAGCTCAGGCTCGGCTGACAGCAGCGTGACCAGGGGCGGCGCCAACTTCTTGAGCAGCGTGCCGTAGTAGTCGAGGTCCTTGGACAGCATCTCCATGAACTTCATCAGCACCTTCACGGCCGACAGCACCACGGCAGAGTTGGCGTGGGACAGCCTGGGGGTGACCCGCTCACAGATGCTGCGGTCCGTTCCAAGGGGGGCAGACAAGAGAGACAAACGGGGGAAGCACCCTGTTTTTAGTTATCAGATAGCATGTCTCCTGTAGGAGGGAGATCTAGATCCCGGTTCTCTTTCCTGCAGGTCAAAACCACTCGGAGCCTGAGTTTCCTCATCTAAAACATGGGAGAGGAAGATGCCAACTGCACATGGTTGCTGGGAGCTTAACTGAGACAGTGTGTGTCCAGCACTGAGCACAGTGCCTAGCAGTCAGTAAATACTGGAGAAATGTCAACTCCCTGCCTTCTGTCGTGAGGGCACTCAAAGCAGGCAGGGCCCCATGCTGGTTAGCACCAACAGTCAGGGGAGACCTGGCCGGGAGACCTGTGACCTCCTCTACCTCCCTGTGAACCAGAGACAAGAATGAAGCTGCTCTAAAGATGATCACACGCAGGGGAAGCGCCCAGCAGAACCCCAGGCACCCAGTGGGATTCAGTAAATGGCGGCTCTCATGCTGTCCACCTCCCGCCTGAGTCTGCAGTGACCGACGTCTCTCGTCAGCTGCCTGAGCAGGCCCTGGGTTCTGTTCTGCACCCTCAGTGAGCAGAGGGCTGACTGCCTGGCTCTGGGTCTGAGGACGCTCTGTGGGGCGAGGCCCTGGAGAGAGGGCTCACCTCTGGGCCTCCCGGTCGTCCTTGGGTGTGTAGCTGGCCAGGCAGTCCAGGATGAAGATCTGGCCCCACTCGGTGCACTCGTTCAGGGCTGTGAGCAGCTTGTTGATAGACTGCGGGTTCAGGTCGAGCAGGTTGCTGCTGGGGTGAGACTCGGCGATCTCCGAGAGGGCGGCCACCGCGTTCGCCACCACCTGTGGGGAGGGTGCAGGAGGCAGAGGCTGGGGCGCTGCTCACAGGCGAGGGCAGCAGGCAGCTCATGACAGTGGCCAGTCAGAGCGCAAGCATCCTGAAAGGGGTATGACCCGAAGGGCAAGGTCTGGAGCACTGAGACCCACTGCAGGCACCCGCTCCACTGACTCCTCTGTGAGCTGAAACTAAGCGTGCCCGCCATTAAAGAAAACCACAAGAGAGAGCTCCTCAGGGTTCCTGGCAAGAGAAAGTAACCTAACACACAGTCACACTCTGCCAGCTACAGCAGCTCGCCGCGGGCTTGACAACCATGCCTCTCAGAGCCAGAAGCATCCTGCGGAGCCCCTCGGGGCGGTGGGCACAGCTGGGCGCTGGAGCACAGAGGGGTCCAGGTGAAGCTCCGGGCCCACAACCATTTCCTCCACGAGAGCCGCTGTTCCCACAGGGGTGCTGCGTGGTTTTCAACTCTCCCCTAACCAAGCAGCGCTCCACAGCATCCCTGTACTGGCCACTGGGCGCCCACCTGCGATGGATGTCTCAGAGGGACACAGAATGAGATGTCTGGGGGGGCAGCTTGTACGTTTCATTTTAAACATGGCCCCACTGTTCTCCAACGGAGAAGGCAATGGCAAGCCACTGCAGTACTCTTGCCTGGAGAATCCCATGGATGGAGGAGCCTGGTGGGCTGCAGTCCATGGGGTCGCTACGAGTCAGACACAACTGAGCGACTTCACTTTCACGCATTGGAGAAGGAAATGGCAACTCACTCCAGTGTTCTTGCCTGGAGAATCCCAGGGACGGGGGAGCCTGGTGGGCTGCCGTCTATGGGGTTGCACAGAGTCGGACACGACTGAAGTGACTTAGAAGTAGCAGCAACTGTTCTCCAAACTGCAGCCACCGCCACCATGAGGAGTCAGCTCCCCTCCCAGACATGCACTGAGCCCGGTGTGTCAGGCTACGCTACTCCCAAGGTGAGCCTCTACGGCCCTGCAAGAAGTGGGGAGGGGAGCCCCTCCAGGTCAGAGCTCTCTGATGGTCTTGGTGAGAGGACAGTGATGACGACGGGGACTGGAAGGGGGAGGAGGGCACAGCCGCTGTGCTCCAGGCTATGCCAGGCACACCACCTTCAACACTCCCGACAGCCGTGCAGAAATAGATCCAGCCTACTGAGAAAGAAAGGAGGGCTCGGGAAGGTCAAGCAGCTTGCCCGTGGCCACACAGCTCCTTAGAGAAGCTACACAGAGACGCTCATTCCAAAGATGGCGCCCAAACCACTGCGGGTAGGAGAGTAGCTAGCCCACCTGCAGGGCTCTGCCTGCCCAGAACCGGGGCTGCCTGGTAGAGGCCCAAAGCCCAGGGCTTCCCAAGCAACCCTGAGGGTGGTGGAGGTGGCACAGCAGGCAGCAGAGACTCACCATGGGGTTAGAGTCAGAGATGAGGTCTTTGAGGGTGTCCAAGAAGCCCTGGTCCTCTACCAGCTGGGCATTGATGTCGTGGAGCTTGGCCACGCACACGGCCGCCGTCTTGCGCACATAGGGGTCCTCGTCCTTCAGGCACTTCCGGAGTGGCTCGCATAGGTACTCTGTGATCTTGTCAACGCGGATGCAGCCCATGGTCCGTACCGCCAGGGCCCGGATGAGGGGGTTGGGGTCCTCACAGTCCTGAGGGGAACCAGCCATTGGCCAGGGGCAGGGGCAGGTTGAGCAACACCAGATGGCTGCTATGGGCCTCCCCCTGACTGCAGCCAACAACATCAAAACAAAGGGTATGTGTGGGCACCTGGGCCTCTGTGGTGGCTTAGGTAAAGAATCCACCTGACACTGCAGGACACACAAGAGGTACCAGTTCAATCCCCAGATCAGGAAGATCCCCTGGAGAAGGAAGTGGGAACCCACTCCAGTATTCTTGCCTGGGAAACCCCATGGACACAGGAGGCTGGCGGGCTACAGTCTATGGGGTCACAAAGAGTTGGACATGACTGAAGTGACCGAACACAGCTACACACAGAGGCACTTAGTATCTGCCAGATAGCAGGCTTTGCACAGTTCCCTCTGATACTCAGAGCAGACAGGCAATGCTATTCCCATTTCACACGTGAGGGAGCTGAGGCCCTCAGGAGGGTCAGGAGTTCAGCCGGTCACAGAGCAGAGCCACAATCTGAGCTGCATCCACCCAGCACGACAACCCTCAATTTTCCTACCGGGATACAGAACCCCCATTCACCCACGTGTGGGTACGGACAAGGTTGGGAAGCTAAGGTTTTAAAGGTGTGCAGAGCTAACAATGCGAGCCCCTGCTTATCCCCCACTTGGAGGACAGAACATGCAGAAGGGACCGAGGTCCATCAGGGCAGCAGAAGGCCTAGAGACACAGGCTGTGTCCTGGGACTGTGAACGATACGGGGCCATGGGGACCCACGGGCCTGGGGTGGCGTGTGGGGACTGAGTCAGCAGGCTCTGTGGCACCTCATTTTCTGGAGACAGTGGGAGCCCTCCACTGGGGGAAGAGCCCCCAAGCAGGGAGTCAGGCGGGCGGAAAGGAGCCTCCGTGTCTCTACCCCGGGCTGTGGCGCCGCACCCAGGGAGACTGAGCGGTGAGCAGCCCTCCCAGCCCCGCCCAGCTCCTCCGCACCTTCACAAAGGTGTTGACAGCCATGATGGCCATGTCGGGCTGACTCTTGGCGTAGTTCATCAAGTACAGGTACACCAGCTTCTTCAGCTCCAGGTTGTCCGTCTGCATACAGTTCACCACGTCGGGGAAGAGGGCACTGGAAGGTCAGAGCCACGTCAGTGTGGGGAAGCCCAAAGAAAAGAAGAGGAGGACTCTTCGGGCAGCTGATGGGGGCTGGGGAGGAGGGGGTGTGCAAAGGGAGCAGAAAACCTAACAGGACTTCCCAGTAAAGGCAGGGCACCAGCTCCGTCACCCTGAGCATCTGTTGGTAGAAATGGAATTCCAGAGGTTGATTTTAAAAGCTAAAACGTCCTCTGGTCTTTTCACAAGTTTCATACATGAGCTCTGGAATCTATCAGATCTGGCTCAAAGCCAGCTCTGCCTCATGCTGGCTGTATCAAGCTAGGAAAATTTCTGTATCCCCCATTTTGATTTTCTCAAAGAAATCGAAAATTTCTCAAAGAAAGAGAAATAACAAATTCCGTTTCACAGGGCCCTTGTTATAACTGGAGAGACAACGAACTTAAGGGTGCCTAGCTCTCGACACTTAGGAGGCACTACAGAAATGACAACGATTGTTTCTCCTTCTCTGACACTTGACGTGGCCACTTGGATCAGGCTGCTGGCTGCAGAGGGCTCAGGGAGCAGGGCTGGGCTGGACCGTGGACACTAGAAGGCACTCTCTAAATACCAGCCCACATGCACAGGGCACACACCACAAGCCAGGCTTGCTGCTAAGGGCTTTTCACGTGATCTCGTTTAAGAGCCCTGAGAACCCTGTAGATTATCCCCAATTTACACAAGACAAAGCTGAGGCTCACAAACGACAAGTAACTGCCTAAGGTGCCAGGCTGAGTCCAAAGCCTGTGCTCATGAGTGCTGATATACCGGGCAGAACCCTTCCCAACATGGTAACCACAGTCCTGGGGTCAGAGGCTCCTTGAGATGTGAAATATAATTAGTGGTCGGTTCTCTGTCTCTGAAATTATCACCTCCTCTTCTCAATTTTCGTGACTTTATGGGCAAAGACATGGGAACAGAGACTTAAGAGGGGGAAAGTGAGTTTCTTGAGCCTGGAGAGGCAGGCAGGTCCAGTTGCTGAAGCTGCCGCGTGACCCTGGAAGACGCCAGGCCAGGAAGGGGAGGGCTGAGAGCTCGCCTCGCTCTCCTGGTCTGTCACATCAGCAGAAGCTCATCAGACAGAGAACAAAGGTGCCTCCTCTGTGACAGGCAGGGGTTCTAACTGAAGGAGAGCAACATGGTCCTAGGAGGAATGTGTCTTGGAAGGAGGCCCGGTTTTCCAGCAGACGCCGGATCCCTCTGCCACTGTCTTCCACAGGTTTCTCTGCAGAACTGCCTCTCCTGTGACGCTGTGAGGAGGTCCCTTGCTGAGCGTGGCGATGGGACAGGGCAATCCCCGGAGAAGCCTGGAGCAGTAGGGTCCTGCTGAAGGATCCAGATGGGGAGCGGCTCCCTGTTAGCACCCAGGCCTACCAGGCACGGGCTTGAGACCGTAAGGGCGCAGCAAAGAGGAAATGGAGGAAAGCACCCTGGACCTGGATTTTAGAAGCGTGAGTCTGCTTTCACCACCACCCAGGCTGCCCACGTGGCCCCTGGGCAGTCACTGCTTCTGGTTTCTTTGGCAGGAGAGCCTCCCTTACCTACAGGATACAAGGGACTGCAAGGAAAACACCTAAACGTGTTCTCCGACTCTCACTCTGCCAGTGTTAAGTGTCATAAAAACCTAACCCTGTCCCTGGGGACCTGGCAGTGTGGTGCAAAGGGAAGCACAAGCTCATGTAAGACGAGGACAGTCTAGGGAATTCCACCACGGTCCAGTAGTTAGGACTCGGTGCTCTCACGGCCAGGGACCTGGGTTCAATCCCTGGTGAAGGAACTAAGATCCCTGAAACCAGGCAGTGAGGCCAAAGAAACAGTAATAAAAATAAGAAGAACATCTAGAACTTAGGATTAGCAATGGGAACACAGCAAGTGCTGTGTATTCAGGGCGTGATGAGGGTGGTGGCAAGGTAGATGGAAAACAGGAAGGGACATTCCAGGCTGGGAAGATGCGTGAACAGAGGCGTGGCCACAAGTCTACATGTGACCTGCTCTAGCAACAGATGCACGCCAAAGGGTGAACCTGAACAAGCCCGACCTGCAGGTGGGCTTTACCTGCACAGTGTTTATTTCTTCAGTGCAGGATCTGAGGTCCCCGGCCAAGGACAGAAACCGGGCTCGGAGCAGTGAGAGCACTGAGTCTTAACCATGGGGTTGCCAGGGAATTTCCTCATCTGGCAATCTAAAACAGGGAGATTTAAAATGAAAAATCCAGATTCCCCGTTCTTTTTAAAAACCAAAAGACCTGGCTACACTGGGGTCATTTCCCCAGCAGCAATGTCCTCTGGAGTTCCTGACGGGGCGCGCACCACATTCACTTTGCTGTCCCCTGCCTTCTCAACCCAGCCCACTTCACTTGCTCCATGACTGCCTGACCCCATCAGCATCTGAGCACATGACCCCTTTGCAAACAAAACTTGTTGTCTGGAAAGGAGGTTTGTAAAGGGAATGACACACGGGCAGACCCGGGTCCTTAGGGATGCCTAAAAGGGGGGATCTGAACTGGACCCAAGCTTGAAAGCCCCCCTCTTCCGGCGCCCACAGCCGCAGCCGGCCCACCCCTGCACACCTGACATCTTTGCCCACAGTCATGGACGCGATCACTTTCTTCACCGCCTCCTTCTTCTTCTCCTTCTTGTCACTGTTCAGCTCCGCCTTCAGCTCAAAGATCTCCCCTAAAAAAGGAGGCAGTGTGAGTGATCTATGTCCACCTGCCAGGGGGCGATGCCCAGTCCCCAACCTCCCAAAGAACGGGAAGGAGGCAGGGAAGACACTCTGCTGCCCGCTGAGGGCAGTTTGTGGTCCTGGGCTCGGTGGGGCAGGCAGCAGAGGATGGAAGCCTGGAGGTCACGCTGAACTGAGGGGAGAGGAACCATGGAAGCTGTGGAGACAAGAACAGTGCGGACAGGTCCTGTTCAGCTAGACAGCTAAAAAACATACAGAGCAGTGTAGGGTTCTCCTCAGCCACCGCACCCAGCGTGGGATGGAACCTGGGGACGGGAGGTTTGAGTGGGGAGAGCAGGATCTGCTCAATTCCCACACATGGCTTTTCCTGTTTTCCTAGAGTCTCGAGTTAAAAGAGCTCACTCAGGGTTTCACTTCCTGAGCCACAAGTGGTGGCTCAGATCTGAAAATGGGAATTCAGCTGGCCCACATGGGCTCCGGGGCTTGATAAACCATTCGTAAGAACTTGAGGATGGGAAAAAAGCAGGTGAGGAAGCAGGCCTGTTCAAGGCGCTGCCGTGGACAGGGAAGCAGGCTCCTGACAGCCCCAATGGCAGGTTAAGGGTTAGACGGCAGCGTGAGACGGCCGCCTGCCCTCAACACAGCTGCAGCCTGCCTTCCTGAGCCTTCTCCTAACCCCAGGTGCCTCCGTAACTTCTTCCCAGGCCTCTTCTCATTTCACCTTCACAACAGCTCCATACTTTCCCCCATTTTGCAGATGAGCAAACGGAGAATAGAAGAGGTTCAGGAAGTAGACAAGTGACACAGCCATGAGAAGGAAGGCCAAGATTCAAAACCAGGTCTGCCAGCTCCAGAGCCTGTGTGCTCTGGCCAACCCAGGACATTCACTCTCCTTCTCTGAACGCACTTCCTCGTCTGCACCCTCGGCCTCACCTGGGCCCTTGAAGTTTCTCCCATAACAGGGGCGAAACACTCAGCTCAGTGCCTGGCGCTCAGTGGCCAGCATGAAAGGTGGCCGTGATTATTACTAACTTGCCACATGACTCTCTTTGTCTGGGCTCCCTTTTTTGTAGGAGCGTCCCAGACTACCCTCTCAGGTTGCTCGGGGTGGGGGTGAAGCAGAAACTCTCAAGGGCAGGGCAAGTGCTAGAGGAAGTTCTGGATGGATTTACAAGGAAAAAAAACACAAAAAACAGGTTTTTTTCATTGTTCTTTTTCTTTTTAATGACTGAACAATATGGTGCTCAGCAAAGTACTTGTGATGGGAGGCAGTAAACAGGTTAACTGAGAACACTCAGGCAGCGCAGCTGGGGAAGGCCACACTGAGGAAACTGCTCAGCAGAGCCGGGAGGAATCTGCAGAGTCTGCAGTTCAAACCCAAGGCTCTGGAGCGCTGAGGGGACATATGCCCTTCTCCTCCAGGAGACCGGGGACTGTATGTCCCTGATGTAGGATCCAACAGACCCCGTGACCCACGCCGAGTCCTGCTGCCCGGATGACCCTGCTTTTGCTTGAGGTGTTGAACCAGCTTCAGGACAACTGGGAGTCAACCGACGGATTGAGGCCCAGGTCTCCTCGGCCCCAAGAAGGCTAGTGCAGTGAACCCGGAATCTGCCTGCCTCTGAAACATCTCCTTCTTGTGATGGGCCCGAATCCAGTCAGCCACCAAGCCCTCCTCCTCAGTCACACACCAGGCACCCGTTGCCCCCCAGCAGCACCCCGGCCTTCCTCCCCAGCTCAGGCAACACCATCTCCCATGCGAGCTGCGGTTCTGCCTCCCCCAGCCTCATCACCTACTTTGATCCTTAATTAGAATCTGACCCTGATCTCTTTTTGCCTAAAACCATCACTGATGTCAAGTTTGGTCCCAGACATTTCCCTAGACTTTCTCCTCAAAAGAAAACCCACAAAACCCCCCCACACTGACACCCCAATACTCTCAGCACTGTTCCCCCCGCCCCCCACCTCCGGGTGGCCTGGTTCACCAGGCCCTGTATACCTCTCCACCTCTCCTTCCATCCCACTCTTCAGTAACTTGGGCCAGGCTTCCCTTTCCCTGGATGGACCCTGGGCCCAGCACCTTCCCCTCCCCTCCCCCCTTTACCTGGCTAGCTCCACACTGGCCCCTCCCATATCACAGCATCCACAGCCATTTAGAGTGATTACTACTTAATAAACTGTCCTCTCTGCCCAACAGCAAGCAAAGCCAGGCCAGACTCCATGCGTCTCCTCCAACGCACACGGCAGAGACTCGGGGAAAGTGGCTGGCTGGAGAAACGAACGCCTGATGCGCAGGTCCTGGCTCCGCTGACCCAAGGACAGACTCTCCTCATCTGTTCAGGAGGCGAGCGCTAATCTCACTTGGATGGAAGGAAGGAGGAAGGAAGGGCCAGACAGAAAGATGTTTACAGGGATAAAGCACACTTGTCAGCCACTACAGCAAATTCCACTTCCTGAAAAGCAGAAACAACTCCAACACCCAACAACACAAGGCTAGCTTAGCAAATTTCAAGGCAGCAACTCAACAGACTTGAGTCTTCAGAACTGTGGGGAAATGATTATGATACTGTCAGACGAAAAACAGGATATAAACTCTGACTTCAACCACATAAAACACATGCTCAAGGGTAAGGACCAGAGAAGCACAGTTATCACTGCGGAATTGCTGACAGGACTGTGTGCTTTCTTTCCTCTGGAGGTGGGAAAAAATCCCTCATTTTAGACAACTCAAAGCCATGAGGAACAAAAGAGGACCTTTTTTCCCCTCTATACTTGGAGCTAATGCCTTTTCCTTCTGGAATTCTGAAGGAAGTGGTCAACTTCTTACACCATCAGCAGTTCAAATTTCCGGATCTACAAGGTTAAAAATGCTCTGTGTGATTCCTGCCACTCATTTCCAGGCCTCCACCCGCCCTCACCCCCAACTCCTGCAGGGAGCAAGCAGAAATATAGGGCAGAGACAGGAGAAGATCCCACAATGAAACACACAGTACCTTTCTTAGTCGTGGTGAAATACTTGGAGTCCGTCATTTTGGTCCCTTATCTGTGGCCAGACTCTGCAAGACAGAAGAAAAGGTGACTTGCCCTGTGTTCCATTCCATTTTGATTTCACAAGAGGGGAGGATGATCCAGTGCAGGCATAGCAAGGGAAGAGAGCTTCTCATGGCTTTACTGGGCAACATGAGCTGTTGGATGATAGCTGACTGGATTCTGGAAGGTAACTCTGAAGGATCTATCACATTTTTTAATGTGCATATCCTTTGGCCCAGCAATTTTACTCCTAGGAATCTCTCCCATGGAAATACCTGCACAAGAAATGAGGGTTTTACACTCTACAGTACTGTCTGTAACAATATGCCACTGGAAATAAATGCCCATGAATAAGGGAATGGCTCAATACTTGTAAGAGTCCAGGGATGAAAAAAGCACATAACGATCATGGTTACAGCAACTCCTACGTGGCGCTCACTCTGTCTAGCACCATGTTAAGTGCTCTGCACATGGGAGCTCATCACAGCCTCAGGAAGGTACTATCACTGCCTATAGAGTCAAAAGCGCTTGGAAAACACCGAGTTTGAAAAGCTAGGGGGGACTTCTCTCCCCAGCTGTTTTCAGGCTTCTCTAACAGTGACAGGCATGAAACTTCTCTAGAGAGAGTGGGAATTGGGACACTGCAAGCTCCACAGCACTCTCCAAACCTAACTGGCTAGTTTTCTCAAAGCATCTCTCAGGACACCTCCTAACATAAAACTCATGGAGTGAAGTGCTGGTCTAAGGCAACAAGGCAAAGAGAGCACCACGGCCCTCTCGTTCATTCAACATTTACTGAGCACTGACCACGTGGAACCTCGATAGTTCTTCTTGGTCAACATATGAGAGACAAGCGAAGCCACAAAGGAGCCAAGTACCCCAGGTACATGGCAGAGGCTTCTGGGGTTGTTCTAACATTTATTAAGAAGCTATCACTGGGGACTTCCGGTGGTCCAGTGGTTAAGGCTCTGCAAATCCCAGCAGGGGGCATGAGTCTGACCCCTGGTTGGGGGACTAACATCCCATAAGATGTGTTATGTGACAAAAAGTAATAAATAAAAAGCTATCATTTACTGAACTCCTATTAAAAGCCAGGGGCTTTATACCCATTATCTCATTTAATCCTACCAATAAGGTAACTGCTTTTATCCTCTTTTATAGATGAGGAAGCTAAGGCTCAGGGATGTCAGGTAACTTGCCCAAGGTCACGTGGCTTGTAAGTGACTGGACTGGGAGGCATTTCAGGTCCCTCTGAGCTCAGCACCTGTGCTCTATGGATGCAGAATTCTCCTTCCCCCAGGTGGGAGCAAGGACAGACCCTGACAGTGGCTTAGGTACTCGGTCCAAAAATCCATCAGACTTTTAACTTCCAGTCCAACCTATAGTTTCACATGGTACAGAAAACCACACAACCCCAAAAACAGACATGTGAATGGAGAAAACTCACTCAGTGCATCCCTTCTATTGCTCAAACATGTAAACCGTTAACACCTTCTTTCAATTCATTACTCCATGCGGGTGAGATGAAGGTTACTGCTGGGATGGCTGTGAGAGTCAGGGATCATTTCAAAGCCAACGATGGCTCCCCTCCAACCCAACTGTACTTTTCCAGTTTAAGCTTCTACTTATGGCAGGATGGCCATGGGGCTGATCCCCAACTGAAACACCCAAGGTTTTGTTTCAGTGACCGACAGGGAACCTATACATGCTGTGTCTCAGGGCTGCCTTAGAGCCTTTGTGGATCCTATTAGGATAAAGGAATAAAGGCTTTGCTGACAAAAGTATAAAGAAAAAGACTGAATTCCACATTCCTTTTGCTTTGTCAGGTTGAAAGGGATGACGGCACTTTTCTGAGGGAGCTGTGGGAAACAGCAGACAACACAGCCGGTGCCCGTGGTCCCGGCAGCAGGAGCCGGGGCTGCAGACAGCCCCACGCAAGCAGGACCCTAGTTGGCCTGGAACACGGCTGCATCCATCCTCCGCACAAGCGTGGCCAGTGCTCAGTTGATTGTTGTTGAAAGAAATGAAAAGTGGTCTCTCAGTGCAATAGCCCTGGGAGCCTCGGCCTGCTCTCCGACAGCTCTTAGGTAACTGTTTGAGCATCCGTTTCCTACAGGAGTTGACGTATGTTAAAAATAATTCCCTTCTGAGCATATAGAGAGCCATTTTCTCAGAGAGACCTCCCCAACCTAGAGGCTCTTTCTGGAGCTTTAAGAATGTGCAGGTAACGGAGACAATGACGTGTCTGTCACCCAAGAAAAGGGTGCCTGGCTTCAGAAGTCACAGGTGATGAGAGCATCAGCAGAAGCATCCAGAATAGGAGCCCACCTTGTTTCCTAAGGTTCAATTCAGTCTAAGAAGAGGGAATAATGAAGGCAAGAGGAGCTAAAGAGGAGCTAAAAATCACAGGCCAGGAGAATCACAGAAAGCAATGCACAAACCCCTCCAGTGTTAAATCTAGAAGGAAGTCAAAGTGAACAAAGCAAAAACTACCTGAGACGTCTCACTTCGGTGTAGCCAAGAAACTTCCTTCTCGGGTAGAGGGGGCTGTCGGGGCTGGCCCTTCATCTGCAGGCACCACACAACATCCGAGGGCCCTGGAATCCCTGACAGGTCTGTGGTGGACGCAAGCACGTAGGTGGAGGACAGGGTGGGAGAGCTTCTCTTCGGGGGAATTAAAGCAGGCTGCAGGGTCAGCCAGTGATGCGGTTGATGATACACGTCCTCTCACAGGTGCTAAGCAACTCCTCGCAAACTTAAACTGCCACCCTGCACACCAGCTGGCGCTGGCGGCCTCTGCTCCGCAGTATCTATTTCGCCTATCCCTCTGCAGAGGGCCCGGTGGGACTGGGGATGCGAAACCGTATCCCTCTGAAGTCGCTCCACATACAGGAAATTAAAGTGGAGGAGGAAGGGGAAGATGTGGAGAAATGAAAATGCTGTTGCAAAGCCATCCCAGAGCTCTGATTAAAAACCCTCCCCTCACCGGGTAAGACCCCCTGCACCCTCCGCGTGGGTCTACTGAGGGTGGCGACCTGCTGTGTCCTCTCACCGCAGGTGCCTCTAGGATGTTGGCGCAAGAGAGATTTTTCATCCTCTCTGCAGGAGTGGAAAAAAACCCCACCGTTCAGTCAGACTCTGAGCTCAGGGAAGGCTGGTGCTTTTCTTGGCCCTGCTCAGCTGTCGCCAGGCACTGCATCCCTAACGAATCCAGGCCACAGGGGCCAAGGCTCTGACCGTGTACATGACTGAAAGCAAGCAGCCAATTTAGGCAAGAAAATGCTGAGGGTTTGGATTCCATCTTTGGAAGTGGCAAGGCACCTTAGAACAAGCAGCAACTGGAGGCACTTTCTGTTTCAGACCCTGCTACAGCCAGTGTGGTGAGTCACTTCTGCTAAGGATGTGGCGTTCTAGGCCAGGATACCCCTCAATCTCAGCATTTACAGGCCAAGGGATGCCTCGAGGGGATGGCGTGGTCCAAATTCAAAGCAGGGCACACCTGGAAGGACCGGTTTGTCCCCAGGAGTTGCTGCTGCCCTCCCCACCTTTGTCCTCCCTCCCCACACCCATTCTCAGAAGATGACTTTGATGCTACAGTCCCAGGGCCAGGTCCTGCTAATTTCACTTCTTTTTTTTTTTTTTTAATTCTATTGACAGCTGCTTCTCCTGCCACTAGGCTTAAAGAAAGGAACTGAGTAAGAAAGTCTGAAACACAGTAGTTTTCTCTTACATTTTCTAGAACTATAAAGTTCTTGGTGAGAATCACTGACACACTGGCCAGGAACAAAAACGTAATTTAATTTAAGAGGGGAAAAGGGAAAGAGTAGCTAAAGACTTTGAATTTTAGCCACTGGAGTTAGGGCTGGGTTTAAGAAAAAAAGTCCTCAAAACCTTTGAAATTTTTGAGTCATCATCACAAATCTAAATGTAATTTTGTAAACAGGAGATTAAAGATATCTTTCCGTGTTTTAAGCTAATACATTAAGGGACTTCCCTGGTGGTCCAGCCGTTAAGACTTCAAGTTCCCAGTGCAGCGGGCATGGATTCGATCCCTAGACAGGGACCTGAGATCCCACCACTACGGCCAAAACAATTTCTTGAGAAATGTTGACTGTATTTTGACTTTTCTCCAAGGTCTCAAATTTACTAAGAGTAATTAGCTGAGCTGAGGTTAACTTTAGTTGAAAGTGGCTAGTTTAAAAGCTTTTAACACTGGGCACAGAATGGGGGAACACTGTGCAGTCATGAAAAAGATGAGGCAGTGCCACACACACCTGTATGCAACACTCTCTAAGCTATTAAGTGAAAAAGAGCAAGATGCAAACCTGTATGTAGTGTACTACAACTTCTATTAAAAATTAAAATAGTAATAAAACAGAAATACGCAAGTGTTTGCAGATGCATGGACAATCCTTGAGGGTAAATAAGAAAAGCTGAGGGCTTCCCTGGTGGCTTGGTGGTGAAGATTCCATCTGCAAATGCAGGGGACGCAGGTTCCATCCCTGCTCCAGGAAGACCCCATATGCTGAGAAGCAAGTAAGTCTATGTGCCCCAACTATTGAGCCTGTGCTCCAGGGCCCACGAGCTGCAACCACTGAGCCCCAGTGTCTCAACTACTGAAGCCTGAGTGCTCCAGAACCCGTGCTCCACAACAAGAGCAGACACCGCGGTGAGAAGTTCATGCGTCACAGCTAGAGAGCAGCCCCCACTCGCCATAACTAGAGAAAAGCCTGCACAGCCATGAGGACCCAGGACGGCCAAAATAACACATAAATAAAGGGTTTAAGTGACTGTGACCAGCAATTTAAAAAAAAAAGGTTGACAGAGGTTTCCTCGGGAAAGAAAGCTGGATGAGCAAGAGACTGACTTTCATTACTTACCTTTGTCTGCCTTGGGAGTTTTATATCCTGTGCACGGATCATCTCTTTTCAGTACAACGCAGTTTAGAAAACTATGGCACGTCTAATCCAGAGCACTACCCCCCCACCCCCACACAGCTC